TTTCCATAAGAAGTTTGATTGAATTGCGCACTATCTAAAAGTTAACATTAAGAGCTAAAACTTTCAGAGAATTGTTTTTTATCAATTTGAGCCCTTGGGAGCAAGAAAATTCGAAAATGTCCATATTAAGGACCGCGCTGGTGTATATATTTCAGAGAATCTGTGATAATATATTTTCCATGTGAATTACAACTTGAACATTATATGAAGACATTTAGCCATTGTTTTGTTAGTTTTAGCAACACAATGGTTGTCTTTTTCAATTCTGAATCTGAGATTAAGAGATTGAGATTAAATCATCTCTAATTAAGAGTGATCATCTAAGTAATATCTATTTTTACTTTGATAAATATTCGATTAAATTTTTCACTACTGCTTGTTATTAGGTTAGATCCAATACGAAATGTGACTCGAAACCTTGTGGTAGTTCCACGTTCTTACCACAACCAGATTTAATTTTTCATACATATAAAAATTTTAATTGAAAATTTAAGACAATAATGGACAAAAAGTCACTGGATCCAAAAAAGTCAACCAATTTATTAAAAAATCCTAACAGTTTTGCTGATTAGATTTATATTCTCATACCACTTTTGTAGATATTTTTTATTGAGTCCCTCTAATGATACAACACTGTAAAAATATACAACTTTATCTTTATTTTCTCAAGAAATATTTACCCCATTCCTCATGATGACTTAAATCTTCAACCCACCAACTAGAAGGTTCGATTACCACCTCGAGCAGCCTAATGTCAAGCAGTAGTGACATCGGTCACTTCAAAATTTTGATGAAAATATCTTTCGAAGTAAAAATAGCTCTGCCCTAGCATCGCTGCATCAAATTAACATTATTACCAATCATCACTATTAAAGATTTTCTAATAATAAAACATATTAGAGATAGGTCAATAGTTGGGTTGTTTTCTCGTCGACGTAGTGACGTAGTCAAACAAAAAAAAAGCTACACGGAACTGTATCTAAGCCAGATTATATTTTCCACATGTCTACATCATCTCAAAATGTTACTATTTATAATGATTTATTTTTCATCCTAATTGATAAGATATAAAGACGTACAATTTAGCTGATACATGTTAGCAACATATGTTATCAGAGAAATGCTGGTTATGATTCAATGCAAAAATTCATTGCACTCTCGGCATGTGAATCATATTGAGCAGGTCTCCGACGTGATCACTTTCTTATCATATTTATAATTAGTATTAAAATATCGAATTGTATCGTCAGCAAGAAACAAAAACTTTGAGCTGTAAGAGAAACTTACTTTTATAAAAGTTAGGCCGTATTTGAATAATAACATGTTTAGAATCATACAAAGATATTCATGAATTTTCTGTATTAATTTAAAATTTGGTTAATAAAAAAACCCAATAGTTGTTCTTAATTTTATTCTCTTTCAGTCGCTTTACCTTTACCTTCACTCTACCTATATTTGGTGCTTTATCTTTACTTTTACTCTACCTATATTTGGTGCTTTCAATTCGTAAAAAGCATTCAATTCGTAATGATGGGGAGAAGTGGTGATTAGTTTTTGGAAAAGCAGGTCTAGGTTTTTCGGAAATACGGAGCTACATGTGCAAAAAATGGCATTTTTGAGAAAACTAAGCATTCATTTTAAATGGTGCTAAAAACTTTTTGTTTGTGTTGACTAAACAATTGCATTTGAAAAAAAAATCCATTTTAGAATTTAATTTTTTTTGTCGATCTGATATAATCCGGATTTTAATTTTAATTTTGGCTTTAGTTCTAAAGCTCACTTATATAGTTTAAATAAATAATTTTAACTTTGCAATTCAGTTTATATAACTCTTATAAATATTAGAATGTCCTTCCGTCATTTTAAATCCGATGGATTAAGTTTTCTTTATTTACATATGGTCTCATACATTGTCTCTAAAATAAGAAAAATGAAGGTGACAGCATTTATAATAATCTATTTGAAAACATTTAATATTCTTAGAATATTAAAGAGGTTTTCTATGAGACACGATGCCGTACACCACTAGTTTCATATAAATATGTAGTAAAAACTGTCAAAATGCTAAAATAGAAATTACATTCGAATAGCTTACAGAACATAGTTTTTATTGCTATTCAACTATGAATAAATGTTTCGCAATTTACAACAAATAGACTATCGCCATTTTGATAAGATGTTTACATGTATCATAAATTATATCCGGAATCTGTATTCGATTTTACATAATACTGCTTCAGACCGAAAGCTAATAAGATTTGATTGAAAAATTATGAACACATAATATCTCAGAATAATGTGTATTGAATTTGCTAAAAATACTAATAATGAATATATATCAAATACAGATAGGCCAAAGGTTTATATGTCTTCCAGAAAACCATGTTTTTTACATATTATCATAACTGATCATAGAACTTTTAGGTCCAGATTCAAAAACAAAACAAAAAAATCTTTTTAAACAAAATCTACAGATTTATAATTAATACATATCTTAATTAAAAATTAGGTTAAGTATTATATTTCTCAATGTGTTTTAAGTGTATGCTTGAGCAATATTGGAACTTGTCAATAAATTCTACCCATTTATCAAAGAGTTAACAATTGACTATAAATTATGAAATACATATTGTTTCAAGAGTTTCTTTAATAATTGATAAGATACGATTATGTTCCTATCATTTATAAAACAATACAAATAGTTTTTCCTATCTATTATTATGACCTGAAATCTTAGAGGCATGTTTGAGATAGCAGTTACAGACAATTTTCTTTGGGGAAGATTGCAATCTGAGTAATATTGATAAAAGTTGATTTATTTTATGGAAATTCTATGAAGTAGTCTATCTTTTATATTTGACAATAGACGTGCTTTTTTATTTTAGTATATGAGTTTAGTAATAATTAGTAGTATTTTATTTTCGATAAATCCTTATATATATCATCATAAGCAAAAAAAAATTAAAAAAACTTATAAATATTTTTTATATAATGATTAAGTTTTATATAGAGTTTATGATAATCAATAAACATACAATTAAAAACAAAATAGTAGTCAGATATTTAACTTTTTCTGGCTACAAATTGCTTCTTCTCCTTAGATACGATAATCTTATTATCATTTTTGACGATACTTTTAAAATTTTAATATACAACAAATTAAAAATCAGTTAATGCAAGAGATAATTATCTTTTCTGCATTCATGTATTCAGTAAATTGAAAATTAAACAGTTGATTAACACTTGTTCCTAATAAAGTATAATTATGATAATGCGTGTATATATAACAGAGTGTGTATATATAATAGAGTATGTATAAAACTAATTCTAATTTTTCCATAAAAAATTTGTCAAGTGTGATCGATAAATATTAAACATGAAATCTGATAAATACGAGTATTTTAAAATCAATACTTTATCAAAATAAGCATCAAATAAGTAATATAAACCCTTTTTGCTCGTGAACAAAATAACATAATTAGCCGATAATATGAATTTTTTATCTATTTGATAACATGTACGAAAACATATTTATCGGTCCTAATACAAATATTTTTGAACTATTAATTATCTACGGGAAGAGTAGTCTTAATAATTGATAACAATATACGTAAATTGTAAAGACAGGGTTTACAAATGAATAATTTATTCAATATTCATATTTAATAATCCTTTAACTACTACTAATACTACAACATTTACTAATTGTTATTAATGTTTGACTCAAATTGAATTTAATTATAAAAATACATTAAATTTTTGAATTATGGGTCAATATACGTGTGCGTTCGTGCATTATAATAAATACGTTCATAAATATTAAAAGTTTGTTTGAAAGATTTCAATTGGGAATCACAATTATGAGTTTCTACTGTAAAGCAAAACATATATTTGCAAAATGAAATATTGGAAATTTTGTAGTCACAATTTAAAAAGTTGCAAAATCTTAATTCTTATTCACAAACATCAAACATAATTTTTATTTGCATACATCAAATTTTATTCTTTACATTGTTAATAATCAAATTGACATGATAATTAATAAGAACTTTTAGAAGAAAATTGATAAGCAAAATGTTTTATAAGAGAATATCAGCTAATAATTTATAACGATTAAAATAATTTCTAAATATTTCCGATACTGGAAGTTCTTACAATTAGACTAATTGTTTAGTTAGATCAATTCGCCATCTTTAACTTCCCGTAGGGCAAGTTATAGTAATCGCAAAAAAATCGAAAATGAAAATTTCTATATATCTTTACGTTTCAAAGGTTTCTGAAATGGATGTATGTGTGTGTGTGTGTGTTTGTGTTCGGATACAAATTTTCGTCGACGATTTCGGGATCACGGATGAAGCGATTTAAATAATTCAAAAAAACATTCGATTCCTTCGATACGGAGACGTCCTGATTAGTTTTTGGCAAAGACAGGTTTAGCCGTTCCAAAGATACGGGACAAAAAGTGCCAAAAACGGTAACTCAGTTTTTAAGAGAACGGAGTGTCCGATTTTAATAATTCAAAAAACATTTAACTTGTATTGGCAAGATGAACAACTGATTATTTTTTTTTAGAAGGCACGCCCAGCGGTTATGAACTCTCAATAAAAATAAGTTTGAAAAAAATGTCATTTGGCGGTCTAAAATGTTTATTGGACATATGTATATTAAATTATCAGAAATTTTATAGAGATTTTATTAAACTGTACACATTTTGTTTAATTTTTTGGTTTCCGTACCAAGATTTTTAATTAAGGTACGAGAAGTTCCAGCAATTTGTCTTAAGGCACAATACCATGCACCCCACTAGTTGTCATTAATTCTATGTACAATAAAACCTCTGTTTACCACTACATGTTGCTAGTGTTATCAGCTTCGTATATTAATAAAATAGTGATTAGCCCTGCTCATAATAAGAACGTTGTACAAATAAGAGTAAGACTGTATAGATATACATATATAAAGCAATAATATTTAGCCTGTTTAGTTATTTGTGTACAAACGTGCGTTCAGTGTCTGTGATCCTCAGTTAAAACGGTGCGATTAGAGTTGATTTTTAGAAATATACGAGAAATCTTCATTTATTCGAATTCAGAAAATTTGTCAAGGTATTTATAAATAGGATCAGTAAAATAAACGCTACACTACACGTGCGTTTTTAGTCACACTTTGTCCATAATAGGTTAATTTTTTACTGATATGTAAAGGATTTTTTAACCTTAAATTGAAATACTGCTTAGGTTTTCTAGGTTTAAAACTTACTACTAAAATTAAATGAGATTATATATATGGAAACTTTATAGGCATGATCTAAAAACTTATGATGCTGTTTATTTGGCTTAAGGATGAAGTTGCTAACCAAAAATATAATACCAATTGATTGCTACAAAATATTTTCCAAACCAACCGATGAATAAGGATTGATGAAAATATTAACCGTGATTTTATTTAAAAACGTCATAATATTAAATTTATTTGTTGTAAGTTGCATTTGAGAATAATTCATTCTATGGTCAAAATTGAACTGTATGATTTTACATTACCGTTTTTGTGAGTCTTATTTATATCCTAGTCTAACATCCCATATGATGATTATCCTACACTTCATATTGATATAGTTTTTTCAGTTATTTTCCAGTGATTATGGATAAATGTTTTATTTACCCATAATTACTGAGCAGAATATATAATCACGCACTTAAAAAATAGTTACTAAAACTACAGGTGATGTTTGGTAGGGGATGGCAGTAATTTTAAATATCCGCAAGGAGAGGGGTCCAAAAATACTTAAAAATCAATCACGTGATTAACGGAGGGTCCTTATCTGAAGGAATATGATAATTCTTCACTTGTTAACATACTTTTACTTATTTTCTGTAATTCAGATATATTATTATATAATTGATAAAAACAGGACTTGAATTTGAAGAAACTAATGAATATTCCACAATTCAATTAATATGATAAAACAATTATAATTACAGTTTACAATACTTTTTTTGTATAACGTTTTTTAAATTTTATAATAGTTATGTAATGTTCTCATTCTTTTATATTATCATAATAAAATTTATTATGGAAGGTTTGATTTTTATGCAAACTATGTTCTATTCTTAAAATAGTGTAGGTATTTCTTGAAAAAGACAACGAGTATCTAACCTTGTGGTACCTAAATAGCCTACACAAGCCAAAAACATAAAGATGATCGTAATTTACTTTATATATATATATATATATATATATATATATATATATATATATAGTTAATTTTAATGTTGAGATATATAAGTAAGTTCTTGAAGGGCGATACATCAAGCAAAGAAAAAACAAAGATTTATAAAATAATCTTTAATTCCAAACGTTTTGACATACAATTTAATGTCATCACCAGATATTAAACATAGAATATTACATCTAAAAATGTGTACACACCACAAAATTTTGCACTGACATTGATACAACTGACCAGTCAATAATCATGAATTTTTTTGTAAATAAGAAAATTAAATAGTAAAAAGGATATTAATCTCGGAAACCATAGCTATTACATGTATCTGAGCAAATGTACTTTAAGTTTTCTACATTTTTGTAAAACAGAACTTTCATTATTTTTCTTATTTACAAATAAAATCATTATCAATGTTAGTGCAAAATTTTATGCTGTGCTCCATTTCGAATATCAATATGTCGGATTTTTAAAATTTGAAAAACTACAGTCAGTTTTACTTGGGATGTTGAACTTGTAATGCAAATAACGAATTAAAAATTTTAATCGTTAAAAGTTAAATTTATTTTCTATCCTATTAACAATCTAATAATTAGCACATTCAAAGCCCATCTTAGCCACCGCTCGCTCCCAACAGATTTTGGCTCTTTGTTTCGCAACTACCAGCTTTTGCTAGAAAAAAACTAGCATACTTTGGACTATTAGAACAATTTGTTTATATTTAAATATCTTTTATATAAAAGGACTACGTGACAGGCATTATGTATGCGTTAAATACAATAATAGATCGACAGGCGAGGTATTATCATCACATAAGTCAATAAACATGTGAATAACGACAACGAACTCATTGAACTTGGGCACCGGTTGAACCATGTTTTATGACTTGTAAAAGTACACAATAAACTGATAAACGAGAACAAAATACATTTATTTACTCTATATGTTTAGAAAATATGTATTAAACAAATACAAAGTGCAACGTTTATGAATTTCAGCAATTCTAGTTCATAGATCCTTGATTCCAATATTCTCTCAAATGCAATATTTTAATTTTTATTTACTCTATATATTTAAAAAATATAAATTAAAAATCTTTAATTTTGGCTCATTGATTCAAATATTCTTTCAATTTTATTTCTTTGGCCCGTTATTTCTAACTTTCAAACCACATTTCGTGGCATTTTTAGGATGTTATAAGACCTTCAACTCTACATCAAACAAAATTTCATCCAAATCGTAAAAAAATTCACCAATAAATTATCAAGACACCGAAAGGCTAATCTTTATAAAAAAAACTGATCAAATGGCCAACTGTTTTCATTTATCAACTCAAATCAAACGGTTTTTAAATTTTCAAAATCGGTTCAGCATTTTTGGTAAAACTATACAATCAGAGTTATCATAAAACCTATTGACTTTTACTAATGTAGTGATAACACTGTTGGATTTATGATTGTAATTATTTTATAGCTTATAATTAGTTTATGATTGTAGCTAATTTATGTTTGAGAAGATGATAAATTCAAAAGTTAAATAACATAATATGTTATTTAACTTTTGAATTTATCATCTTCTCAAACATAAATTCTATTTCTCAAACATAAATATTATTTAATGATTGAATTGAAAGAAATTGAAATACAAAATTGGTTTCTTGATAGTTTTAGTTTTGGATCTATTTCTCAAACATAAATATTATTTAATGATTGAATTGAAAGAAATTGAAATACAAAATTGGTTTCTTTATAGTTTTAGTTTTGGATCGTAGTAATAATGATTATAAATAAAATATAATTGCGAGAGAGTTATATTTTAATAATTAAAGAGTAATAAGTAGATACTTCGTTGGAATATTTATATATATATATATATATATATATATATATATATGTATATTGTTCGACGTTGAAACATATTGAATATTAAATTGAATAAAAAAATTTTATACGTTTCGAGACTAGACGTGTCTCATCATTCAGTTAAAAGAAATTCAGACGATAAGGGAAAGTTTTAGAATTAAAAATATAACATTAGAAAAATTATTAAAAGAACCAAATTATACACACCACTCACACCAGACCAGGAAAAAACACATGTTACTATCACCACAAACACAACTATTAGTCGGTGAAAGTTTCCAATACATCAGCAAGAGAATGAATCAGCATATTTATAATTCAAAAAAGACACTTTAAAACAATGTTTTCTGAGCACATTATTCATTTCAAAAATTCTTTTAATACTGACCATCCTATAATTTTACATAAAGAAAAAAATGTGGACCTGAAGAAGATTTTCCGAATCTTGTTTTATCTTTTTAAATTCAAATTGTGTGAACGCAGTTCTTCTTGCTCACTTTCGGAAAGCTATCAAAATTTAATTAATTTCTTTGAAAGTTAATATTAAGAGCTAAAACTTTCAGAGAATTGTTTTTTATCAATTTGGAACCATTTTAGCCCTTGGGAGCAAGGAAATTTGAAAATGTCCATATTAAGGACCACCTTAATATATATATATATATATATATATATATATATATATACAAATCTACACCATAAATATAAATGCATTACATCATTGTAGTAACAATACTGTCAAGCAGCCTTGAAGTTCTCACTGAGATAAATAATTATCTACTTATATTTGGAGCATGATAATTAATTTTAGTATTTGTTTCCATAATAGATAAATTAATTATGAAAAGTATAAGTTATGCAATCTGACTAGCTCAATAAAAATCAATAAGCCACGAGTAAGTGTCCCATTTGTGTCAATTAAAATCAAGTTTTTCTGAATAAATTGTTGTTGGACCTATTTCTTTTTATTTAGCAGTAAAAAATACAGATTTTTAGATACAAAATTCATTTAGGTATCCAAAAAAGTTAATCACGAAACTTGACAGCAATCCATGAGTTCAAGTACCTCGTACAAGATATTGAGTTTTCAAAGTTTCAAAGTTTTATATTGAAAATTTTTTAAAGATATTGCGACATGAGATGAAATAATACATTATTTTAGCTTCTACCATCACTTGCTTAAATGCATTCTTATGTAAACAATTTCTAAACTAAAGTCATCAATAATAAGTTAAAGTTGAAAACAAATAAGTCATCAGACAATGTTAGTATGAATTTTTTTTTAAATATTAAAGTTCTTTATAGCTTGCTCTTTTACCGTTTTGTTTTAAAAAACATATCTAAAAAAGTTCTACACCTGAAATTTGTTTACAATTAATATTTTAAAGATCTTTAGTACTCTATTTAATTGTTAATTAATAATAATAATCATATTATGATTACGTTTACAGAAGGATCTCGAATTATTAATCATGGAATTAGAAAATCAAGATTTGGAAGGAATTTTAATTTTGGATGGCGGATTCTCTACCCAATTAGTAAAATATGTTGGACCAAATGTGGATGGTGATCCTTTGTGGTCTGCCAGGTACAACGCAACAAAACCAAAAGATGTCATACAGACACATTTAGATTATTTACGAGGTAAATATAGAAATAATATTGAATAATAAAAAATATAGAATTTTAGTTCTATTTAACGTTAATGCTAAATAACTGAAATCTTTCAAATAAACTTGATTAGAAGAATGATCAGAGAAAACATTAATGAAATATTTATGAACTTTTAGTCCCATTTTTTTTTTATTAAGTACCTACTATACATAAAAAACCAATCTAGCACCAAATCCTAATTGATGATAATTTTTTGCTGGACACTCAATTTTCGAATCATAATTTACTACTTATTCCGGCAAAATTAATCAATCTTAATTTAGAAATTATGGTTAGCAACATAAATATGATATAATTCAACCGATAACATTATTCATAACAATAATTGAAATTATATTAAAGGTTAAATATAGTTTAAGAAAAATATTTTGTTCTTCTTATCGGAGGTCAAGTTCAGATATAATAAAAAACATAGAAAAAACTTGATTAAACCTGATTATAGTCGCCGCCTTTCATAAACAATATAAACTTTAAATATCCAAATAGATTGATTAAAGATTAATAATTTAATAGAATTTTTTAATGAGCTCTAATCTCAAAAAAAATATCAGCGTTTAAATTTTATTCGTATAAATATATATGAGAATTATCGGAATTCTATTTGGTTGCAAGAAATGTCATTATACTTTACATTTGAAATTATAATAGATAATTGCATCAGCCTCTCATATAATACGATTATCTCTAATACTCAATGCATACAAGATTATTTTAAATCAAATCAGACACGTTTGTTAGATGAATATTTTGTTTTTTATAACGTTATCAACATAATTCTCAAAGTGACTCCGTAATATGTAGTTAAAAACATCACATATTCACTAACTATAATTTACTAACAGTCGTAAAAAATATAATTAAAATATATTACAAATATATTACAACCATTTTTATAATTTTAGGTAATGGAAGTTTTTAAATATTTAGAACTAACATCTCATGATAGTCATGATCACAAACAAAATTTTAGAAAAATCGTAGTTTCTTGTGCTTTTTGGTACTACAAATGTTTAAAATATGTGCAAAAATATATTTTTGATGTATTCCTTATTAAATATCAATATGTAAAAATTAATGTTATTCAAATAAATATTTAATAATTTATTTATTTTATATTAAGTTTCAACACAATTGTTAGATTCAGGATTATCGATTAATAATCTGTACGTCAAAATCTGAAGCCATATATTCACTTAGCTTAGAAGAAAAAACTTACATTTATATTCAAAAAAATATACAAAAAGTAACAGTATTTTAATGCAACTTTGACCATCGGATTTGCAAATATAATAATTGTTTTGATTTTATTTAATGTTCAGTAGTATTTGCTATATAGTAAGTTATGTCATTCAAAAATAATTGTTATTACAATAATAAATTTAAAGTGTTGTTCATCTTTGCCGCCATGTGAATTAAATGAGAAAGTTATAGTAATCTCAACAAAATCGAAAATAAAAAAAATCTTTATGTTTCAAAGGTTTCTAAACATTTTGGCAAACGTTAGAGAAAATGGATGTGTGTGTTTATGTGTGTGTGTTCGGATACAAATTTTTGTCGACGATTTGCGGAAGACGAATCAACTGATTTGACGAAACTAAAAACATTTTTGGTACGGAAAGTTCCAGCAATTTGCCTGAAGACATCAGTAGTTATAAATTATAATTACAAAGTCGTGTATCTGTTCACCAAAACATATAAGTACTCGAAACAGTACAAATAGTTGGTACTACAGTTTATTTAGTGAAAGTAGTAAACCACTAGCATGAAAATACTTTCATTTCATTACATTATATAATTTTTTGTCCTTTATTTTAGCTGGTGCAGATGCTATCATCACAAATACCTATCAAGCAAGTATAGAAGGATACATGGAACATTTGGGTTTGACGAGGCAGCAATCAAAAGACTTAATGTTCAATACTGCCAAGCTGGCACTTCGAGCTAGATATTTATATGAAAAGGAAAATCCTGAAAGCAGTAAGTTATTGGATCTAATAAAATTTTAATCGACCGATAATATGACATATTTATTGAGACTGTCGCTAATAACAATAAATCTCTTGCTCGAGGAAAAATCTTAGGAAAAATTTTCTTTGTCTCTCTATGGTTCTGGTAGTATCATAATTTCTTTGCTATTATTTAGTTAATTTATTGTCTTATCTTTTCATAAATTAGTATTTTGTTTATATGGCATCATGTACTAATATGCCACTGCCCAAGTGCATCAACTTTTCGATTCATTTTTCCTTCATCAACACTTTACAAGATTTATTTATACGCCAGTTCATAATTTTCTCAAGAACTGCATTTTGTAATTCTCATAATTACTATATTTTTATTCGACAAAGTTTTTAAATATAAAGTGTTACTGGTACTGTATAGTTCAGCTATAATCTTCCTATTTCTGGTGGTCCATGATGTTCTACTCTCTTTGCCTACACTGCCAAAAAGATTCTGGCAGAAACTTATCTTAATTGGAATTTTCTAGTGTCACATTTTCTTTCCTACAGTTATTTGTTGCCTTATCTTTTTATAAATCATTATAAATTAGTATTTTGTTAATGTAATGTAATATTGAAAGTGCATCAACTTTTCGAATTATCCCTACCTTACCAACTCTTCAAAAGATTTATTTGTACGCCAGTTCATAATTTTCTCAAGAACTGCATTTTGTAATTTTCATAATTACTATATTTTCGTTCAACTTTTAAAAAATTAAGCTGTACTGGTACTGTATGGTTCAACTATGATCTCCCTATTCATATTTCAGGTGGTCCATGATGTCCTACTATCTTTTCCTACATTGCCAGAAACTTATCTTAATTGGAAATCACCATAATTGTCTCTTTATGATTTTTCTAGTATCACATTTTCTTTTTTATAGATATTTATTATCTTATCTTTTTATAAATTATTATAAATTAGATATTTGTTATTACAGCATCATGTGCCAATATTCACTGTACATTTTGAATCAATCCTCATTTACCAACTTTTTACAAAACTTATTTGTAAATCTGTACTCCTTACAATTTTGTAATCCTTATAATTGCTATATTTTTGTCCGACCAACTATTTGAATATGAAGTGTACTGGTACTGTATAGTTCAGCTATGATCTCCCTATTTCTGGTGGTCGATGGTGTCTTACTCACTTCACCTATATTACCAGAAACTTATGTTAATTGGAAATCATCACCACTTCTTACTGCTTTGTTTGGATGCAACAACACTTGTAATTTAGTCTAAGTCTTAGATAACATCATGAGATCATCTGCATAATCATCTGACTCTGTCTTTGATATCCAGAATAATCAATACCGCCTAATTTCAAATAAGACTTCTGAATTGTACCCATGAACACATTGTCTGCAGTTGCTTTCTTTTTATTTTCTCTGATAATATCTACTTCCAATCCAATCAATTTTTTACCTTGATCATTTGTATATTTTGCTTTCTATAGACTTATAAGGTATAAACCATAAATAAGGATATGAAAAAACTATTGAAACTTGAATATTACAAGAATATACATATATGTATATATGTTTTAAATCTAGATCTCTAATTATAAAATTTGATTATAGATAGAAGACCTCTAGTAATGGGGTCAGTTGGACCTTATGGAGCACATCTGCACGACGGGTCAGAATACAGTGGCTCTTATGCAAAAACGATCACGAAAGAGGTCAGTACAACTATAAACACATATGTTTTCCTTATATCGGTCATTTCTACAATTTGATAAGATTATTTTTAGTAACGATGTAAACTGATAACAGTATCAAAATATCATTTGTATTCGCGAACAAAAATGATAAACTAATTTCCAGACAAAAGATTGCTATTGTAGTGAAAATTTTAATGTACTGTGTAATCACATTATTTACACATTGGTATGTGACGTGAATTTTGAAAATTTTGATATTATTACAGGAAATCCAAGAATGGCATAGACCAAGAATAGAAGCTTTAATAAACGCAGGTGTAGACGGATTAGCAATTGAAACTATTCCATGTCAGGTAAATAATTTTTATATTTCAAAACATATTTTTAACAATTATATCTGTTTCCATTCTCTGTAAGTAAAATGGGTTTTGTAACTTTTTCTAATATGTTAAATTTACTTCTTGTTATACGTACGAAATGTGTAATTTCTTAATAGTTTTTTCAATTCTTATTGCGTACAATATCAAATACCCAATTTAATAAAATATATATTTTATTAGTTACTAATTCAAAATAATTGATTTTATATAATTTATAGATTCGCATAAGTGAATTAAAAAATACTTCAGACTATTTTCCTAAATATCCCATTCATGTTTGTCATATAAATATAACAATCAAGTCGATTAAATATAAACACATCTGAATATCTTCATCAAAAGAGTCTCTATAAATTGTAACTACCGCAACAATTTACGCCTGAGCACATATCAATTTCTTTATATTTATTTCAAACATAATTGAATTAGTTATAAGTATGTATTAAGAAGACCTACTAAATTTAAAAATTAATTAATATTTTTAATATTATATACTATAAAGGTATCATTATATTGCAGTTGGAAGCTGAAGCCCTAGTTGAACTAATAGTTAATGAGTATCCCGGCACAAAAGCATGGCTTAGTTTTCAATGTCAGGTAAATTAGGATAGATTTAAATTAAAATAATTATATAAACATTCTTTAACACGTGTAAAAAGTGTTAAGTGTACAAACTTGTAAAATACATAAAAATCAAAAAATATATATATAATAGAGAGAGAATAAATAACATTAAACTTTTGCTCCAGTTACTCTGTACACTGTATGGAATTAGCAGTAATTTAAGTAAAAAAATTTATGATATAATAGATTATCTATAAAATAGTTAAATAATAAATGCAAAAAAAATATATATCATACAGAAGTTTCTCAATGCGCTGTATGAAATTTACAGTATCATAGGAAAAGCTTGTTAATGGCCATTTCTTAAGACTTCAAGCAAAGCAAATTGTAACCTTAGCTTAAAAAGTTAAATAACAATAAAAAAACTAATTTATTATTAGTTTTCTTTGGAACCAGTTAAAATTAGTCTTTCTGTGTTCCTGACGTAAAAAATGATATTGTAGTTTCTTTTAAAAAAAATAAACTTGGGTACAAAATGAATGAAACTATTTAAAAGTTAAAAATTCGTAAAATAACACAAATTTATTATTTATGGTAATGCATCGGAGTTTAATTAACTCCATAACCACGCTCGTATGTCAAATAGATCGTATCTCCATGTCATTTTTTTACATTTAAATACTTTGAAATGTAATTAATTAGTTCCACCACTATGGTTTTTGTTAAGTTTTTGGAATATTAAAAATAAATATAATATTTATTATTAATTTAATTATTGTTTTTTTCCTGTCTATTTATGATATATGTAATCGCGTGGATGAATCGTTTGTACACATTTAATTTGATTAATTTGATGATTAATTTAATTTAAATATATAATTAAAATGACTAACTATAAATGACTAATTAATAAATCATTATCATAAAAAGCCGAAATAATTCTATGGTAGGAAACTCATTGTTACAACTTACAAATTTTCATATTTTCATTTTGTCATTAACATTTTTCTGAATTCGCTCAAATCTCGTATCTCGATTTTTGCTCGTATGTTGAAACAACAAATTGCTTCTTTGGTGGCTGGTATCACGAAACACACGTATGTCGGGGTACCACTGTAATTATTTTCGAGATTCTAAAGCACATCGGTATCATTGCCTTGTATGGCATTTTTAGCTTCGACTAACAATAAGTTTGATTCTGCTGTAATCATTTTTTTCCTAAAATTAGATAATATTTCACCAATAAAATTAAAAATTTTATTTTTTTCATGTGAAATTGTACTGAACAAAACTTCTTAAAGATAGTAGTAGAAAAAATATAACTATTGTCCAATTTCTAAAGCACATCGGTATTATGGTTACTATATCGTGCCATTTTTCAATAATCAAATTCAGTTTTAGTACTTCTTATATATGAGACTATCATATTGCCTTTGTAGTTACAACCACGTATAATTCTACTCTTTGCAAAGATTTAACAATATTTTCTCAATTGAATTAATATTTTTTCCTTCCCAGGATGAATCTCGTCTCGCCCACGGCGAGTTATTCCGCGACGCGGCCTTGAGCTGCTGGGAGCTGGCAAGGGAGTCCCAATGTTTACTCGCTGTTGGAGTCAATTGCGTTCATCCCAAATACGCCGTCGGTCTCTGCAAATTCCTCAATAGGGATCAGATGCCCCAAATACCGCTCGTTGTTTATCCCAACAGTGGCGAAAATTACACGCCGACCGAAGGGTAAGCCTTTCTTTAAGTATATTTTGAAAAAACATTAACGGAATTAAATAACCCAAACATATCACAAATATTCAATAAATTTGTTATTTATGACATTTTGGAAATACCTTATGTTACATAGAATACTGTGATTCGTGGTTTTAACATACGGTCGCAATTCGTAGAAGTTAAGTTCATTTTAAATTTAAATTTAGAATACTTTGTAAACTGTTTTAATGTATTGTTAGTTTTAGATAGATTACTATCTGCAGGCGTACATAAAATAATGAATTCCAAAGTAAAATGTCATAATTTAAAATCACGTTTATTGAAATGTTAGCATATATTAGGGCCGAGCATAGCTTAATGATCCACGATAAAAGGGTCTACCCCTAATATCTCAAAAAGAAGCATAGTTAAGAACTTTTTAACAACAATATTTAAAAGTAGAGGGCGAAAGATGTTATTTCATGATGATATTTGATATTGATGATATTTTTTAAGTATGCGACATTTATTTGTTTTATTTTAGTTTTTTATATAACCTCTACAAATCTAACACATGGATGGGGTAAAAAGAACCAACTGAACTTTTACCATGGCAAAGGCGTAAATAACATATAAAGGAAACAAAATATTAAATTAAGTTGAAAAAAAAATAATTTTATAAAAAGTAAATTAAATGAATAGTTATTCCATCTCTGTCGATGAATATTTTTCACAAAATTCGGCGATTTTCATGATTTTTTTGGTGATAGATAGATATCATGGTCTTCTAGATCATACTAAAACATTACAGTTCTACGACAAGTCGTCTAATTTTGAAAATTCGTCAAAGTTTGCAAAAATTAGTATCGTTTTTTTGCCATTTGTCAAAATTAGAACTTTCATGGATGTTTGCTCAAAAACGCCTGAACTGATTTCAGCAATTTAAAATCCATTTGATGTATCTTGATGAGGATTATCGTTTGTACGTTTTGGGCGACGATCGGCCGAGCCGTTTCTTTGTAATTTGGGAAAAAGTGTTTACATTTTCGTCCACATTTAAGCTCATACTACCGAATCAATTTTAAAAAATCAAAAACTGTTCGAAAAAGATTTTTTTCTAATCTTTATTTTTCCTCAGGTGGAAAGATAAAGACCGATGTGTTCCTGTACAAGACTACGTCAGTTCCTGGTTGGATTCAGGAGCCACTTTTATCGGAGGATGTTGTCGTACTGATGACGAGGACATTAGAAATATTAGAAAATCTGTGATCCGTTGGATTAATAAACGCGAATTAAATTGAATTTTAAATAAAAATAAATAATATTTACAGAAATCTCTATAATAAAATGCTGTGATTAAATAATATGAATTTTACGTTCCTATAACGTCACAAATGTTTTGTACATATAAGAATGAAAATAAAAAAATCTACATTTTATTTACCAGTATTTATACAGGCATAATTTTTTGAAAATGATAAGCAGTATAAAAATATTTATCCTTAGAAGTTTCGAGAGTGTTTAGAGTTTAAACATTTATAACACATGATCCTAAAATAACTTTCAATAGGGTACCTTTTCTCAACTCAACGAAACATAAAATGTCTTTTACAAAGATCAAAGGCTTTATGAAATACACCCTATGCAAAAAGCTCTATTTTTGAAACTACAAAGAATATGTAGAATGAAATCGTAAGATTTGGGAAAAGCAACTCTTTTTAAGATTTGTATTGTGGTGCACTTTAGAATTTTGCGTTGGTGACGAATGTCGTTACTATTTACTATTTCCACTTTATAACGGGATATTTAACTAAAAATTAAAAAGAAACCGTATGGCTTTTATGATTTATGTTTTTATAAAATATCAATAGAAGTGATGCCAAATAACGATAACGATAACACTAAGTCTTTTAAATGCCGATGGTTTAATAATAGAAATATAATATAAAAACCTGATATCCATGACGATCAATAACAATAATTTCGCTAATGTAGTTTTTTCAAATATTATGCTTATTCAACATTAATAAGGATCTTATTTAAATTTCACTTATTTTTGCATTCATTCTGAAGATGTTATGTTGATGTTTTTTTGCCAAATCCAATACAATTATAACGCTTTGATGTTCTTCTTAACTCAACATTTTATATCAGAGTTTGTTTATTAATAATAGATAATTTAATCATTATCTGAAACAGCAAAAAATTATAGAAGAATCAATCCCATATCTGGTAAAAATCACTTCAGATAATCTACAGGCGAAAACAGAGGAGTAATTTTTTTCATTATGAAATTTTTCATTACATTTCCAATGTTTAGGTTTTATTTCAACCGCAATGTGCAATTGCAGTTTTGTACTAGAAACAAGAAATAAATGTCACAACCGTACCCACAAAGTATGTCACAACCGTACCTAAAGCACATTTTTGAAACAAACAAAATTGCTGGTAAATAACTACTAATATTCAACTTGCAGCAAAATAACAAAGTGATCTATCTGTATACAAATAGCAGTTATTAAAAGAATTCGAACATAGAAACTTATTTTGGCTCTTCAAAAGCAATACGGTCTACAGATCATGTTAATGTAGAGTGCAGAATGATTGCAATAATGGAAACTTTTTCAAACAATCATACTTCATCTTTCTCCCTTTGGACTCTATCTAAAAATCAATATAGTTTAGCTGTGATGACGACTATCACTACCCAACCATATCCAGTCCTTCCATGTGTTTATGTATGTGCGGATACAATATTTGGTTAACGATTTTGAGAGCACGAATCAATCCATTTCATTGATTAACAAAAAAGTATTGAGAAGACGCACTGAATAGATTTTGGCAGAGGCAATTCTAGTTGTTTGGAAAATATTAGGCAAAAAGTGCCAAAAATGAAGATTCAGCTTTTGATAAAACGGAGCATCTGATATAAATGATTCAAACAGCAATTTACTTGTATTGACGAAATGAAGACTTTATTGAGCTTTTGGGAAGACCAGATTAAGAAAAATTATCATTTGGCAGTCAATAAAGATCGTACATATCAAAATATCAGATATTTGATAGAGATTTTAATAATGAGTACAAATTTTGTTTCAATTTTTTTGGTAGAAGATTTATAATGTGTAACCCCTAGATAATATAAGAATATAATATAAGGTTGTCAAATATCTCCCTTTCGCCTTTTTGTATTATAAACTAAGAGCAAAAAAGCGGAAGGGAGATATTTGACAACCTAATATATTCCCGTTATACTACTAATATAATATATGTAACTGTTATACTAGTAGATATTTTATTTCTAAAATTCTAAAATATCTAAATAAATTTCTAAATATCTAAAATATAATTTTATTTCCATAAGGTAAGGGGGCGTCCATTAATCACGTGAACGAGTTTTTAAGGATTTTTGGATGCGTGTGTGTGCGTGTATGTGAACAGATTTTTTGCCGTAAATCGACGTTTTCCCAAAAACGGTTCGATCGATTTCAAAAATTTAAAAGCCATTAGATGTACCCCAATGAGCACTATAGTTTGTCAGTTTTGTGAGACGATCTGCCGAGCCGTTTCTCTGTAATTTGAAAAAGAGTGTTAATCTTTTCGTCCACATTTAAGCTCATTCTACCGAATCGATTTTAAAAAATCAAAAACTGTTCGAAAGATATTAGTTGGTCATAATACTGATTAGTTTTAGGTGAAAATCTACCGGGCCATTATGTTGTAATTACCTGTTGAAAAAAAATTAAACCGATTTTTATGAAACTTTCTTTGGCAATGTATATCATGGTCTTATAGAACTTACTGAAATATTACGGCCTTACGACAAATAGTTTAATTTTGAAAATGAGTAGTTTTGTTGACGTTTGTTCAAATTAACATTAGACGATTTACATGGTATAACAATAGCGTACTTGGTCTTAATGAACATAGTAAATCATTAAAGTTCTACGAAAACTGGTTCAATTATAAAAATTGTTGATTTTTGAAAATTTACTTTTAGAAAATACTCCGAGTTAACGTGTTCGTTCGTTCGTTTGCAATGATGTGTAATAAATCCACTCGGAATTTATTTTTTATTGATTAAGTCGATTATTTACACATATCGGGAAGTTTATGTAACTTGCCTCAAGGCTAAATACCAATACCAACTAGTTTAAAATATTTATTATGTAATGGAAACAAATATCAATTTAGCAATAGTGACACTGACAGACAGACAGATAAAAACATATTAAAACATTTGAATTTTTAATATAAAAATTTATATATGTATATATGTGTGTGTGTGCGTGTGTATTTATATTTATATTAGTATCATTCTTTCAATGTCGAAATTATTATCCAGACACATTACCAGCCCTATAGTTGTCAAAGAGAAACTGCTATTTTGGTACTGACTGACGCAGTGTTATCAGGCCGTGTTTCGTGACTATTTTCATACGATAACAATGCGATTTATAAACACAAGTGTTTAAAATTCTTAAAACGTGTGTTACGATATACCCACCGCAACAGTATTATTTGCAATGTATTTATATAGGAACAATAATCAAGGTAAGAATTAAAAATAATCTATTTGTTTCTATTATTAATAATAAGTATAAACAAAACTTGTATGGCCAGGTATATAAGTAAAATGAAACTAAGATTAATTGTAATTGACAGCAATTAAAAATCAGTTTTTTTATCAAAATCAGTGTTAACACGTTCGCGGATAGTAACAGTTTCGGCAAGGTAAAAAAATGATAATTTCATTTTTAAATGATATTTGAAAATTGGGAGTGAAATTATCATATTATAATCGTTATATACAATTAATGTTATAGCATCCACGTTAAGTATTACGCATGTATTTTACGCAACGTGCTTGTCCAAGCTAATTAGTGACTACGGGAAAAGAGAATAAATTACGAAAATGTCTAAAGAATCACTTATCGCTAGTCATTACTTTGACAGATATTATAATTAAGAGAACGAGTATAAAATTAAATTTAAAATGACTTCCAAATTTGAATGCTATAGCATTCATGTCATTCTGCATCACAGTGAAGATGATTACTATATCATTCACATCCGTGAACGTGTTAAATAAAGGTAATCAAAACTAGTTGGTTTGGTATTTAGCCTTGAGGCAAGTTACATGAACTTCCCGATATGTGTAAATAATCGACTTAATCAAAAAAAAATATGTAAATAATATACTTCATCAATCCTACTTTAAAAAAACGATAATAAGTTTAGCAAAGTTTGACGAATTTTTAAAATTGAACTACTTGTCGTAAGGCCGTAATATTACAGTAAGTTCTATAAAACCATGATGTATATCGCCAAAAAAAGTTCCATGACAATCGGCTTAATTTTTTTTTTTCAACAGTTAATTACAAGAAAACGGCTCGGTAGATTTTCACCTAAAAGTAATCAGCATCATTCCCAACTAATATCTTTCGAACAGTTTTTGATTTTTTAAAATCGGTTCGGTAGGATGAGCTTAAATGTGGACGAAAATTTAACATTTTTTTTCAACAGTTAATTACAAGAAAACGGCTCGGTAGATTTTCACCTAAAATTAATCAGTACCATTCCCAACTAATATCTTTCGAACAGTTTTTGATTTTTTAAAATCGGTTCGGTAGGATGAGCTTAAATGTGAACGAAAAGTTTAACACTTTTTTTCAAATTACAAAGAAACGGCTTGGCAGATCGTCGCACAAAACTGACAAACGATAGTCCTCACCGAAATACATCAATGGCTTTTAAATTTCTGAAATCGGTTCAGGCGTTTTTGAGAAAACGTCGATCAAAGATTTCATTTTGACAAATGTCAAAAAAACGAAACCAATTTTTGCAAACTTTGACGAATTTTTAAAGCTAAACGAGTTGTCGTAGGGCCGTAATATTTTAGTATGACCTAGAAAACTATGGTATCTACCGTCAAAAAAATAATCATAAAAATCGTCGAAATTTTTTTTTTTAAACTTTATTACAAGAAAACGGCCCGGCCGATCTTAACCAAGAACTAATCAGCACGATTCCCAACCAATATCTATCGAATGGTTTTTGAATTTTCAGAATCGATTCAGAATTTCGGGCTAAAACGTGGACGAAAAATTTTTCACTTTTCTGCAATTTACAAAGAAACGGCCCGGCCGATCGCCGCACAAAACTCAGAAACGATAGTCCTCATTGAGATACATCGAATGGCTTTTAAATTTTTGAAATCGGTCCAGCCGTTTTGGAGAAAACGTCGATTTACGGCAAAAAATCTGTTCACACACACACACACATACACACACACACACACACACACATACTTTTTCCAAATTTGGTCTCATTCGATTCAGAATGGCTTGAAACGTCGAGAAAACATAAAATTAGCGAATCGGATTTTTTGATAAAAACATAAACTTCTCCTTCGGGAAGTTAAAAATAAGTGACTGAAAAATGTTACGAATGGTGAAAAGGTATGAAGGATTTTTGTTATAGTTAGATTTGAACGTTATATTGCATTTAAATGGGATATAAGGAGCACAAACGGTAACTCAGTTTTTTAAGAGAACAAAGTGTCCGATTTTAATAATTCAAAAAATATTTTACATGTATTGACAAGATGAACAACTGATTAAATTTCCATGGAGGCAGGCCTAGCGGTTTAGGAGATCCAGTAAAAAAAGTAGAAAAATGCCATTTGGCGGTAAAAAATAATCATTAGACATATGCACATCAAATTATCAGATATTTTATAGAGATTTTAACAATAAGTATAAATTTTGTTTACATTCTTATGGGTTCCGTACCAATGTTTATCCGTTAGACGGCGACGCGGCGCTTACGCGCTTCGATATTTTGTCTCTATGCAATTAAAGCAGTACGATTGCTTTGAAAATAAGTTCAGAACTTCCAAAATATTTCAAAATAAAGAAAACATTTTTTTTCAAAAAGTCTTTTTTCCAAAAAAAGCAATTTTTTTTCAAGAATGTATATTTTCTCAAAAATCTAATTTTTTCAAAGCAAAATTTTTATGTTAATCTTTAAAAAAAAAAAGATTGTACGGGAAGTTCCAGCAATTTGCCTTAAGGCACGATGCCATGCGCCCCACTAGTTAGAAATTTTTCGGTATCACCATGACTGAACTGAAAAGTCCATGGTAAAAATTGTACTGTTTGTATAAGTGATAAAGGTAAATAAATATATCTATAAATAAAATACGTATACTTTTATATTAAATATATATATATATATATATATATATATATATATATATATGATGTATAAAACCAAGTGAATACAATAGGACACGTAATAACTCATACGAACAAAAAATTTTATTTATTTTAACCCTGCGCTTTATAATTCTAAAAAAAATATGTTTTATTTATTTATTATGTTTACTTAATTACCTAGTTTGTGTATTATTACATGCATTTGGTAAAATTGGAATTTCTTAGGTTTTTTATTTTATACTTGTACCAGTCCATTAACTTTGCGATTTATTTAGAGCAAATTTTTTAGGTGCAGGGTTGAAGTTAAAACTGAATTGTGAATAGTTATTTATGTGCAAGTAATTATTACACTAACTACTGATTTATTAAATTTATTAAATTACATTCTGCTTCTATAAAAAATATTCAGTAATGTTGAGTATATATGTAAATTTACGATTTGAAATTTTGAACAATTACCCATCAGTAGGGTCTTTTCAATGATGTTAAATTAAATTAAACAGTCTTGTGAAGTATAATTAAAACAATCAATTATTAATAAACTAAAAAAATATAATAGCAAAAAAAGTAATTGTAGTTAGAATAAATAATTGAGTGAAGAAATGTTATCTATTCGTTGCCATCTTTAATAACCTTCTGATTATTGGTTTGGTTTCTTACTCCGTTCTCTTGGGTTAAACATTTTTATTTCTATATTATTATTTATTCTAGGAAAATAATAATGGCTTTCAATAACGGGGATTTGTGTAAAATAATGGTATTAGATGGCGGTTTTTCAACACAACTAGCTAAATATGTAGGATTAGGAATCGACAGTGATCCTTTGTGGAGTGCTAGGTACAACTCCACAAGACCTAGCGATGTTAGACAAGCTCATTTGGATTACCTCAGAGGTAAATTTGAACAAAAAAAACAATAATATAAAAATATAGGCAATGATGTTTTAACTGATGAACCAGAGAAAATTCTTACTATCTTTATTAAATAATTTGTCCCTTTTTCCCGTATTCATCCGGAGTCCATTACCTTGTATGAACAAATGATTTAATCTGGAAGTTTGCTAGATCACCTCAAGCACTCAAGTTCGTCTTGGCAAAAGGCAATAAAAATATTGTGCAACTATAGAGCAATTTTACGTCTCAACACATGTATATGAAAAAATAGCATCGTAGCATTACTAGCTTCCCAAGTAACTATAATACTTGATTCACAACCAACACCGTTTCCAGAAAAAACAAGTGTCAAAACCCTCAAATAGTTCAAAATTATTACCAGTAAACATCGATTTATTATTATTGTTATTATATTTTTATTATTGTGGTATCTGAATAAAAATGATTTAATTGTTTTATGTCCAAAAACTTAGCTGGAGCAGACATTATTTCCACAAATACCTACCAAGTCAGTATTAAAGGATATATGGAGCATTTAGGATTGACTCATCAGGAATCAATAGATTTGATAAATTCTGCTATTAAATTAGCATTTGAGGCTCAAGAATTATATAAAAAAGAAAGCTTGTCCCATGGTGAGAGTAAAGGTAATTTATATAAGAATGTAAATACAATTTAAAAATATCTTAATAATTTATGATTACTATTGTTTATTCTTATAATTTTTATTTATTTTTAAACTTCTACTTAATTTGCGCAAGTTAAGGGTGAGAGGTTTTCTTTTACCATTGCATATCGTAGTTCCAGAATATATTTTTAATTTTTATATGAAAACTTTGATATCACTACTGCATGATAATAGATTGTTTGAGACACTCGTTTAAACGAAACCGTGGCATTAGGCTTTAATATTCTATCTAGATATTATATTTTTAATATTTGAAAATTGCACTCCTTCGATATAAAATGTTAGCACTTGGAATTTTATCTATTGATATAAAAATTAACAATTTATTATATTTTATTTATAAGCTGAACTTTGTAAAAGTAATAAAATAAAACTAAACTATTGGTGCATGGCATTGTGCCTTAAGACAAATTGCTGGAACTACCCGTACCAAAAGCTAAATTAATAAAAAAAACTTTGCAAAACTTTGAAAAAATTAGATTATTCAATAAAACTGAAATACAATTTTTGGCACTTTTTTCGTATCTCCAAAACAGCCAGACCTGCCTTTACCAAAAACTAATCAGCACGTCTCCTTATCAGTAGGACTTAAATGTTGCTTCAATTATTCAAATCGGTTGATCCGTGTTCGCAAAATCGTCGACGAAAATTTGTATCCGTACACATACATCCATTTTAAATGGTAAATGTTCAGAAACCTCTAAAACGTAAGGATATATAAAAACTTTCATTTTCGATTTTTTTGCGATCACTATAACTTACCCTACGGGAAGCTAATTAATAATATTTTATTTAGGAAAAATGCCGATAATAATGGGATCAGTAGGACCTTATGGAGCTCATCTTCATGATGGCTCTGAATATAGTGGTACCTATGCAAAAACGATTACCAAAGAGGTTAGTATAACTTTATTTTAATAAAAACAAGTAAAAATTTCATATACTTATTCGTAATTGCAAAAAATCTTGTATTTTTTAAAAGTACGTTTATGACTACTGAAGCAATTATCGACTTGCCTGGAATTGTTTGATTTTTGACTGCACATTTGTAAGATTTGTATAAAAAACAAGCTTTTTGGAACTTATATGAACTATTTATTTTTTCACTATTGTCTATACATTTTAATTTAATATTAAACTGCGTTGTTATTTTCTTAATTAGGAACTGCAAGCATGGCACAGACCACAAATAGAAGTACTTCTAAACGCTGGTGTTGATGGTTTGGCGATCGAAACCATTCCTTGTCAGGTTTTATATTTTTTCATTTATCCAAATACTCGACTAAGTTGTAATTGATCAATTATCCTCTTGATTATTATTTTTTACCGTTTGCAGATAGAAGCTGAAGCAGTGATCGACTTAATAATAAACGAGCACCCTGGTACAAAAGCATGGTTGAGCTTCCAGTGTAAAGTAAATTTGTCATAATAAAATTATTTCAAGATTCAAATTTCTCTAAAAGTATCACATCCGATTACTAAAAATTATTGGATGTGATATTATTAATTACTAATGCATATTATTCAGAATGAATTAAGTTTAGCTAGTGGTGAAAGTTTTCGTGAAGCAGCACTAAGTTGTTGGAAAAAAGCTTTGGCCACAAATACATTGGTTGCAATTGGTGCAAATTGTGTTCATCCTAAGTACGTTAGTGGATTGTTTAAGTATCTTAATCACGACCAAAAATCTAAAATTCCGTTGGTAGTCTATCCTAATAGCAGCGAGGAATACACCCCCAACGAAGGGTAAGATAATTGACATATGATCATTTAAAAGTTTTATGTAAATAAATGGTTAAAACGTATATTTGATTTTATTCACAAGTTAATCAGTATTGTGTTAGTTTGTTAATGCAACCTTCCTGTTTTATTTTTTTTTTTTATCTTATTTTTTTTTTTGATCAAAAGTATTCAAGTTGTCTTAATATGATAATCTTCTATTAAAACCGGTAAAATTATGCCCAATTACAATTTTCCTGGATATTTATAGTGTTTTTCTTATTCTTTTTCTCAGGTGGACAAGAAAAGAACAGTGCCCACCTATCCAAGATTTTCTAACCTCCTGGATTGATTTGGGAGTAAAATTTATTGGAGGATGTTGTCGAACTGATGATGAAGTTATTCGAAATATCAGAAAAGCGGTAGATAGTATAAACCGAAGTTAATTGGTTACTTTATGGGTTTGATTTGAAAAATTAAATGTTAATAGATAAATACTTTTTATAACTGCTGCTAATGTTATTTGTATGAAATGAATAAAATATTTTTGTACGATATGTTTGTGATTCATTCACGTATAAGAAACAAAATTTTATTTGCAATAGGAAATATATCGAACAATATTTCAATGCTATGATTCATTTCTGACAATCATGCGCACTATTATCATTTTGACAATCAGTTGTTGTTAACCTTTTAAAAAATAATAACAAAAAATTAAATGTCCGTGTTTTTATAATAAAACTGCAAGAAACTATTAGAAAAGGTGATACAAAATCTATTACAAAAATATCTAATCAATTGTGCATATTTGGTGGTAATAGTTCACTGTATACATAAGTACTGTAAATATTATATTTCATATGGCACTAAGCATTAATTTACTAAAACATAGAGGCTGATATAACATATTATGTTTTACATTCTCAGTTATTTGCTCTTATTCAACCCTTTTTCAACCCTGAAAAAAAGTTTTCAGTTGAAGTGACTCTGCTATACGGGCCAGTATGCCGACCATGTATTTGTCGCACAACATATTTTAAGTTTTTCTAATCGTTATCAATGAAATATATTTAATAAAATATATTTTGAAATTAGAAATGATTCTTCTAAAGAATTAAATATTATTTAAAAAATAGAATTGTTCTCTAGCTCTAAAAGTTTAAATTGTCAGCATTTATTTTGGTCTTTTAACTGAAATTATGAAATATCGAAATAAATAGTTTATGTTGGCCAGCACTTGTTCCAAATTGAATCTTATAGTCACAACGTGACCTTTACAATTATAATACTCCAAATATTTTTTTATTATGCTTACAATGATAACTTCGTAGTACTGTAACGAACGTGAATGTTACATTATTATTATAATAAGAATTTAATTTATTATAATTGTGGTTGTTTTCAAACATAAAAAGCAGTTAACACAAATGTAAGTGCATTCAAATACAAGAGGCATGATATAAAATTATAACTAGCATTTAACGAGTACTTTACATTTTTATTTTATATTTTATTTATTGGTTACAATAAATAAACAATTAACATAAGTTTACATCAATAAATTAGATTAATTGGTAGATAAACAATGTGCGTATAAGAGTCAGTATAAATTAACGACTTATACTTTGCAAATCTAATGCGATGGAGACTAATCCAATAAAAATCCCAATGATAATAAATAAAATTATTTTTAGCAAAATGGAATTTGAAAATGGTGATATAATACTGATGGATGGAGGTTTTCCTATGGATCAAGTAGAAAAAGCTGACCCACTTGCACTTTGGATCACTGAACACAACGAAACAAATCCAGAAGCCGTTATTCAAAATCATATATCCTATCTTCGAGGTGAAAGAAATAATTTTTCAATCACATTTGGTATATTTTTATTGATGTTTATGTTTGCATCAGATTCCAATTTGCTAATTTAGTGTTTTTCCAATAATTCAAATAATTCTGAATTGCCTGATACGTCACTAGGTTTCTCAATGTCTGGTCTGTGGCCAAAACTGTGTTGAGGTGTTTTGTCCAAGATAGTTTTTCCAGAAGCAAATTGACCAGAGCCTGGTACGTCACTGGGTTTTCTATCATCAGGTTTATGTTCAAAACTATATTTTGGAGTTGAATCTAGTTCAGTTTTTTCTGATGCATATTAGCCAGGACCTGGTACGTCGCTTGGTATTCTATCATCAAGTGCAAACATTGATGTGCAAACAATATGCAAGTATTTAAAAACAATTCTGATGGTCAAAACTGTATTCAGGAGCTTTGTTTAGCTTGATCTTTTCAGAATAATATTTACCAGGGCCTGCTACGTCACTAGGTTTTTCAATGTTGGTCTGTGGCCAAAACTGTATTGAGGTGTTTTGTCTAAGTTTGTTTTTTCAGGAGCGTATTGACCAGAACGTATTGATCATCAAGTTTATGTTCAAAACTATATTTTGGAGTCTATCATTATGACTTGAGTCTCTCATTTGTTGTATAATTGCACCTATTGTTTGTTTTATATGAATTTTTTACTTCAGCTGGATCCAAATTATTGAAAACAAATACTTATCAAGCGACCATTGAGGGTTTCATGAACCATAAAAAATTGACAAAGAACCAAGCAGAGCAAAAAATTATTGAAGGAGTTAATTTGTGCCATAAAGCAATAAAATTATACCAGGAAAGCGACGATTGCTTTAAAGGTAAACATAATGATGCCAAAATTCAAAATTTATTTATATTTCACGGTGAAAGAAGAAACCCGTATATACTTTATTTATTTTTTGAATGATCTAGTTTAAATATAAATATTTGTAGAAAAAACTAAAATATTGGTCGTGGGATCAATAGGCACATATGGTGCACATTTACACGATGGCTCAGATTATACAGGAGATTTTGCAGAACGTGTTACAAAAAAAGTAAAACCATATTTGATATTTTGCACAAAATATTGTATATAAATGTATAATTTGTTTATTCATTTAGGATGTGAAAGATTTCCATAGACAGCAAGTTAACGTATTAGTTAATTCCAATATTGATGCATTGGCTTTCGAAACTATTCCATGTCAAGTTAGTTGATATGGACTGATCAATATTGTTTTTGCAGTAATGAATGATAATATAATTTTATTATAATAAAATTTTAGATGGAAGGTGAAGCAATAGCTGAATTATTGACTGAGAATTATCCAGGAGTAAAGGCCTGGATAAGTTTTCAGTGCAAGGTACGACTTTTGACGTACAAATGGTTAAATGGTTATTAATTTATGACTATACTATATTGAGCACAAAACATAATAAGTTTGCATCCAATTCTAGGATGAATTGCATTTAGCACACGGAGAATTATTTCATGAAGCAGCCGAAAAATGTTGGGAAATAACAAAAGGTGAATTATTGGCTGTAGGTGTAAATTGCGTAAATCCACGCAATGTTCTCTCATTAGTAAAAAGTTTGAATGGAAAACGAAACGAGATGATACCACTTGTTCTGTATCCCAACAGTGGAGAGAAATACGTGCCAAATAAAGGGTATGATTCTAAAATTTTAATATTTATATAGATAACAACTTATTATAGCCTGTTATTATCTGAAAACCAGAAACAAGTGATATTGGTACATATTTCCATTATCATTAACACACTGGTAGATGAAGTACGAATACCCAAAATCGTAGTTGCAATATATTTCCATTTGCAGTATATTTTCTACCATTTGATTTTTCTCAAATTGTAATATGATTAATATTAAAATTTAGTAGTTATTGCAATAATGTTTAATAAAGCTAGCTTCTACATAGTCAATGGTCATTTGATAACTTCTGTAAGATATCAAAAGATAGAAATGTATACTTTTGAAAAAATAAAAAAAAGCAATATGTTAATTATTGGTGAATATTTGAAGAATCCATTTGTGAGTTCTATTATTTAATAATTATTTTGTTTAATTAACTGTATTATGTGAAGGATACTCTTCAGTTAATTTATTAGTAAAAAGATACAAAAAATAAAGCCAATCTGTTTAAAGAAAGTTTCTACAAATTAAATATATTTGCTATGACTGATATATAATAAATACTTTTCCATTAATATAAATATTTTATATATTTTTAAGTTGGCAAGATAAAGACAAATGCCCAGATATAATTAAAGATGTTGATCAATGGTTTGCATTCGGTTGCAAAATTGTTGGAGGTGGTTGCAGGACAACTACAGATGATGTTGCAAAATTAAGAGACGCAATTTCAGCATGGAGGATGAATAGACAAACAATTAATTGATTCACTGTATGCCAATAAGTAAATTAATTAATTAGTTATACATTTGGAAAGTGAATAAATTTTACGTTGCTCGTTTTTAATTTATCCTTTAGTTTCTTTGAAAGAGGGACTGTGAAATCATGTTTTCATTTCACTATATACATCCAGTATATGCGAATGAGTGTATTTGAATATTATCACAAATAAAAATAAGTATTTACGCTTATAGTATGTTGTTATATAAACCTATTATTCAAAAGTTTGCCTTAATTTTTCTAATATGCTAACTTTAATCTTCTACACTCCTGATTAATAAATTTGCGCTTTCATATACAAAAAAATAATTCATGAAATGCCTAATATTATTTGTAAGTAATAAATAATATAATTATGTATAATAGTATATTTGTGTTCGAAACGAATTTTCATTTGTTAATCGAGATGTATCGAACATATCCCAATACCCATTCCTAGCACTAAATTCACTTCTGTCAATCATGCGCACAAAGTCGACAGTTGTCGTAAACATTTTCCATAATAAAAACAAAAACTTAATGTTTAAAAAAACAATTAAAGATTGATTCTACCAGAAAAAACGAATTAAAATAAATTTAATAGAAATCGAGCTTTACTGTACTTTTTACTATATTTGATGAAATTATGAAGTATATTTACTTCACCGTATATAATAAACGCTGTATGTTACGTAAAAATAATATTTAAAAGTAATTATTTTTATAAGTTAAGTTCAGTATTTACTAAATATATAAATAAAACTAATGTATCATTTTCTTAAGAAGTGCAACATTAGTAAAATTTGTATTTAATTGAATAAGCATGTATTTATACAAAAACGTTATACTATATAACTGCTATTAAGCTAAAAATTGTTGAGCTTGTGCTAAATAAGCATTTTTGCTGAAATACAGCTACTAGCATATATTAAATAAAAAACTCAAAATATATAATGCACAAATGGTATTAATTGTTTACTTGAATGTTCTAAATTATATTTTTTATAACGTTAATGTTGAAACCATTCACAGAATTGGAATCATCACAACTCAATTCGAATGTTGCATAGACCTGATTTAGAGCGTTTGTCTAGTAAATCAAAATATGAACGTCTAAAGTAAGAACTGTGTTTGTTTTAGAAAATAGATATAAAAATATCAAGAAGAACAATAAACAAACAAAAAATATATCAGGTTCTAATTTATATTTCAGGAAAAGGGTGTTTCTTAAAACTTTCCTTAAACGTGTATTTTCATTGAATATTTGACACCAAATAGTCAAATTATTATCTTCATAAATTTTATTAAGTAATTATTGCACAAACTTTGAAAAATGGTTCATAATCAGTCTTTTTTTAAAGTAACTTTGAGGCAAATATTCAATTATATTTACGATAAAAATATTTATAACTATACCAACTTTTTATTAAATAACAAATTTTTCATCAAGAGTTTGAATTTAATCATATATTGTTTTCTGATAATTAGAAGTAACAATAGTTTCCTGACAAGAATTTCTTTCATATTTAGTAAAATGGCAAGTGTTGAATAACTTCCAGCAATTCTACAAATCTAATCATATTCTAGGATTAATATTGTTGATATGTAACGAATTAAGCACTAGTAAAATTATCAAACTTGCGGAATTATCATGTTTTAAATTGTCAGCGTTTGCTTGGAATTTAGAATTAAAGCATATCGAAATAAAACTAAAAGAAATTTTTAATGGGGACAGCACTAGTTCAACAGCTGGCTCTAGTCAAACAAGCACTCACAGTCACAATGTGACCTTTAAATTTATAAAACTCTCCCACTATTTTTTTATTATGCTTACAAATATCTTCATAGTATTGTAACAAATTTAAAGATTACATTGTTTATAAAATAAAAAATTTAAATATCTTAATTGTGGGTGTTGTCAAACAATAAAATAGCTGTGCACTCAAACATGAATAAATAAGAAGCATAATTAACAATTATAATATTTAACTAGCATTTTAAATTATTCTGATTAAACAATAAATAAATCAATTAATTGATCTTCATAACTCAGATTAGGTGATTGCTAAAAGTGGTATAATAAGCGTCGATATAATTTAACGATTATAATTAGTCTTTGCAAATCTAATGAAATAAAATACATTAAGAATTCGATTAGGAATAAATAAAATATTTTTTAGCAATATGGATTTAACGAATAGTGATATAATATTGATGGATGGAGGATTTCCAATGGATCTAGTTGAAAAAGCTGATCCACTTCCACTCTGGATCGATGACTACAACGAAACAAATCCAGAAGTCGTTATTCAAAATCACATATCATATCTTAGAGGTAAAATTAAAATATTTTTCATTAATAATAAAAAAAAATTTTGATTTATATTTTTATCTTTATAGTATACCTAAATTTATTTAATTATTATTATTATTAACTAATTTTAAAATAACTTTTAATATTTGTTTACTGAACGGCAATCAAAATTGGTCATTGAAGACAACAATGATTGTAAATATGTTAACTTCGTTCGTCTCCATTAACACACCTCATCTCTAATTACTTGTTTATTGTCTCTAATTGCTATACAATATTTATCTCTACATGTCATTATTTGTCTCTAGATATCTATTTCATTTTGTGTTATTAGCAGCAATCAGAACTTAACGCCATTCGAACAATTGTGATGACTTCTAATAACGTTGATCTCCGATGGCAACCCAACGGTTGTCCTATCTCTATTTCGAAATTCTATATTTATACTCATGAGTCCATCTCTCTTTCTAATATATTTTTATTAGAAGGCAATGGTTGTCCTTCTTACAATTGTGTCTAATTTTAACTAATTTCATTTGTTTATTTATTTATTAAACATAAATCAGAATTGGACATTGAAGGCAAACCCAATGACTGTCAATATCTATCTATTTTTGTTTTCGTGTTATTAGAAGCAATCAAAACCTAACGTCCTTCGAACAATTGTGATGACTTCTAATGGTGTTGATTTTTCGATGGCAACTCAATGGTTGTCCTATCTTTATTACTAATTTCTATAATGATGAGTCTATATCTTTTCTTAATATATTTTCATTAGAATTCCATTTAGATCGTTCTTAATGATATATTGACTGGTTGCAGTAGTGGTTAAAAGGACTATTCTCACGTAGAAACACATTTATGACCTAAAATTGATTCACGGCCGCTTGAGATAAGGTTGCCAAAAACCAAAGATTTAAACTCGAAGCGTTGTAAAGCTGAGGTTTTACCATTTGCGCCACATACAGTCAATTATTTCAATTTAATAAATATTTGAAATAATCTTGTGATCTTTGTCTACTATTTTCTGTATGAAATCCAAAAACACACAATGTATGGCCTTTGTTACAAGAAATTATAATTGTACTGAAGTGAATAAATATAGTTTGTTTTTTACTTTAGCTGGATCCAAATTATTGAAAACAAATACTTATCAATCGACCATTGAGGGTTTCATGGAACATAAAAAATTGACAAAGGAACAAGCAGAGCAAAAAATCATTGAAGGAGTTGATTTGTGCCATAAAGCAATAAAATTATACCAGGAAAGCGACGATGGCGATAATGGTAAATTGAATGATTACGAAAAATTTCTTGATCTATTACGATATTTGTGGATAATCTATCATTCACTACCAATAAAAATATTTTCAGGAAAAAATAAAATATTAGTCGTGGGAGCAACAGGCACATATGGTGCTCATTTGCACGATGGCTCAGATTATACAGGAGATTTTGCAGAACGTGTTACAAAAAAAGTAAAACAACATATGATATTTTGCCTAAAATATTGTAACTGAATTTATAATTTATATATTAATTTAGGATTTGAAAGACTTCCATAGACAGCAAGTTCACGTATTAATAAATTCCAATATTGATGCATTGGCTTTCGAAACTGTTCCTTGTCAGGTAAGTTAAAATGGACTGATCAATATTGTTTTTGCAGTAATGAATTATCATATAATTTTATTATAATAAAATTTTAGATGGAAGGCGAAGCAATCGCTGAATTATTGGCTGAGGAATATCCTGGTGTAAAGGCATGGATAAGTTTTCAGTGCAAGGTACTATGTTTGACGTACAATTAGTTAAATCATTGAGAATATTTACTTATGTAGTATGAGTATTCTAGGATGATTTGCATTTAGCACATGGAGAATTATTTCATGAAGTAGCCGAAAAATGTTGGGAAATAACAAAAGGTAAATTATTGGCTGTAGGTGTAAATTGCGTAAATCCACGCAACGTTATCTCTTTAGCAAAAAGTCTAAACGTAAAACGAAACCAAATGATACCACTTGTTCTGTATCCAAACAGTGGAGAGAAATATGTACCAGAGCAAGGGTATGTTATTAATAAATATTTAATTATATTTGAAAATAAATTTGAAATATATTTAAATAATTACTAGATGGCAAGATAAAAACAAATGCCCTGAGCTAGATGAAGATGCTGATCAATGGTTTAAATTGGGATGCAAATTTATTGGAGGATGCTGTAGGACAACTCCAAAGGATATTGAAAAATTACGAGACGCAATATCTGCATGGAAAACAATTTGCAAAAAATCTGATTAACTTAATAGTAGATAGCAACATATCGATTATAAATTTGAAATATAAATAAATAAATATTTTTTACATTGTATCTTGTTTAACTTTCATTCAAAGGAATGAGAGATAAAAGTCGGTCAGTCAATCAGTCTTCATAGGAAGACTGATTAAATTCTGTTTTAATTTTATTATATATTTCTAATGCATATCAAAAAATGCATTTAAGCATGATGCGTTATCAGGGACAAACAAAAATATTCACCCATAATGTAAAAAGTGTAGTACTATTTAAAAATGTAAGCTTTGTTCTATTTCAATTAGTAATAATATTAATTAATTAATTAATAATAATTGTCTTATCATATTTGTATTATACTTAAATTGTGTACAATATTTTTAAACGTGAATTTAAAATCGTTTTAAAGAATCACTAAAAGATCGAAAATAGAAATGAAAAAGACAAGGTGAGAGAAAAAATAAAGTTTGAATTTTCATTCGAACCTGTATAATCTTTACTACATACCAGACAATACCCATCTTGCATATTACACCTATTACCATGGTTTTGTTTCAAGTAACCCTAGGTGTGATCTACATCAATCAAGATAACTATTTAAACAAGACAATGTTTAGAATCATATCTTCTTTGTGTACTAATAATAATAAAGTAGGTCAATAAGTTCTTATGAATCGTCTACGAATAACAGACAAATAGGTAATCAATAGGTATACTTGGTCTACAAAAAGACCATCAATAAACAGGTTGGTAAATAGTGAACTATTTATCAACTAAATTAGCATTTATCAATGGTTCAATATTAAGTGCAAATTAATCTTAATCTGCAGAACAACTTCTGAAGATATTACGCTATTGATGTGGTAAACAAAATAGTATAGTAATAAATGTTCCAAAATCGGGATAGAAATTGATGAAATTATAAAATTAATATATAATATTAAATGCAATATTTTATTTTGTGACTCGTACAATGACGAAACGTGTTCGACTATATAAAAATATAGATACTTATAATTAAGTAAATGGTACTTTATAACTAGGTACAAGGGTTTTGAACGATTCAAATAATACAGATAGAAGTATATATATATATATATATATATATATATATATATATATATATATACATATAATACACTTTATACTGTATATGGCCGAATCAACTTAGGAATTTTCTTAGAATTTAGGAATTTAGGAAGGTATTAGGCTGATATGTTTGAGCATTATTTAATGCAATTTTAATCGTCTTAATGCAAACAATCAATAAAATACAGCCTTAAACAAAAATGTCAATAAGCTGCTTCTTGAATCATTTTTTTTTTAAATCAAATCTTTTATCAAATTTGAATTATCTTAGAATTTCAGATATTCGAGTATTAAATTTTATTATTTAAAATGTTATATAATTAGATTAATTTTCAATACATTGGTTCGGCCATATAACATCACAGCTTTACCAGTTCGTTAAAAGAATTTGAAAGCCTTCAATTCTTCAAGGTAGTGTATATTAATTGAGAAGAACTAAATATGTTGTGAATCTAATATAAAAATTCGTAGAAAAATTCATAAATCACAAACATTCCAATGAAATGAAGATACGATATATACAATTTTGTTACATCACGTGTATGACTTATTATATTGCACAAATTAATGGAATGGAATCAGTTCATATCTATCAATAATTTTCAGTATAGAAATATTTCTCTATATACAAATTATATAATTGACAAACTTAATAATCTCATCTTTGTACATTCTTATTTATAATAAATTGTATTTGTCTCGATTAGACCATAAAATTAACCATAAAATTTACGTCCAATTTAAAGGCACAAAATTTTGGCAATTGGTTTACGTCATTAATGAAAAAGGCAAGTTTTTAGAGTTATCTTAAACAACAAATGGAAGAACAGTTTATTCTTTATAACAAATGGAAGAAAGGTTTAGTTTGATTTTATCAATAATATCATATTGGAGGTCATAAGATATATAATTAATCTATCCAATTACTAGAAAGAAGTACTAAAATGTGCTTGGAAAAATTGTAAGTCTTTTACATGTTTTGAATCCTAGTTTAACTCTTTATGAAAGGATATAAGACAACAAATTGCAAATTATTTAAAGAAAATCACAAAAAAACACAACTAACAAAAGCTTTTTTACAAACTAAACAAAATTTGATTAACAAACTCCGCACAGCTGAACATGATGGTTTTCTATATATAATTTTAGTTTAATTTTTCAAATTAAATATATAATTCTTTTTCCTAATATTAATCAAGTCTTTTATTCATTGTATGCGAACTTTTTTAAAATTGTGTGATATCCACTAAGAAAGAGTAAAACTGGGACCCAAAGTACTGGAATTTTTTTTTTGAGACAATTTAGTTTTTCTTTCAAATGATTGGATGAATTGCTGTTAAAAGAAACTTATCTGGGTAATGAATCCATGTTAATCATTACGTGATTAAAAAGGATTTCATATTAGTTTTGTAATTTATTAAATGTTGATCACGATCACTGTATGCAGCAATGGAATTTTGACAAAGATAATGTTAATGCATACAATTTAGAAACTCTATTCCTTCAGATATTTATATCTTTATCAGATATTATTTACAATATCCAACAGTTCGTATACAAATAATTTTGGCCATAAAACAATTTTAAAATGTTAAAGAATGGAAAAAACCTAAAAAAATAGGTTGACCTAAACAATTACATAAAACAGTCTCTTAGCATACCCCTTCACAAATCGATAAAATGAATGTAGATAATTCTTGCATCTACACTCACCTTAATGATATACTTTTAAAAACCTATTTTACTCTTAAATCATATTTTGACTTTAAAATTAAGCTACCAGCATTTAAGAACCGATTCTGCCAATAACAGACAAATGTTAAAGCAAGGCTATGTTATGAAGAACTTTTCATACAAATTCGTTCTAAATATTGACAAAAGCCATGCGGTTGTTGAGCAGTCAAGCGAATTTCTCAGATTGTCAAAACCTAATCTAGACACCGCACAAATGTAAAAAAACGATCTTAGATAACAGGGTCTTTCTGACCCTGCTTCATAACATACGAGTGGCGTTGCAGTTTATGTGTAAAACGCCTGAATGCACAGCAAATACATGACATTTTGACAGTATTCAGTATGATTCAGTACCATAATGTATGGAACCTGGACCGTAACATGGCCTTGCCATAACATTTATCTGTTATGCGGCAGAATCGGTCCCTTAGTCTTTAAAATAGCTAATAAATCATATTTTGGCTTAATATTACTAGCATTTCGTTTCTCTAGCTGCATCTAGAACTTCTTGCGCGTCCAAAAGTGGTCCAGTCGCTAAAAATTGGTTCCTAATTTGGTTCTGCAATAAAATCCGAGCTTGTCTTTCTTCTTGGATCTGTTTCTTCAATATGACCATTTCTGACTGCATTTGGCTGACGGCGATCATCAAACTCTTCAATGTGACTTCGTTCATATAGTCTGTGGAATCACCTGTTTTGGGCATAACGTGGGAGTTTTGGGTTAGTGGAGATTTTGTTAGTACAATGCATGTTATTTCAGCAGTTACATATGATTTTATGGTAAATACAAAATGTTTGTAATTGGTATAATTAAAATATTTATATTCCATTAGGGTATTTATTTGCTTGAAACGATCGAAGCTTGCTTAGTAAATGATAGCCTTAAGTTTGTTTTTAGTTCTATCTTGTTCCATCTTGAGATTTTGTAAAATTTCCAAAAAAAATTATGAATAGAAACGATAATATAGTGTTACAGAAAGATATAAAGAAGCAATTTGAATTTTTTTATAAATTTCTGTTTACAAAAATAAAAAAATATTTATTTATGTTATGCAAGAGTCAAAATTTAAAATGAGCAAGTAGTATTTCCTGATATTTTACGTTTTTTGCTATTATTATTGTAAATACGTTAATTTGCGAGTAAAATTCATTATTTCTTAATATTTATTATTAAAGCCATGTTGGTCCACTCGAAATACTGTATGCAAAAGTATCAGAAAATTAGATATGTCTTATAAAAAAATAATTCTTATAAAATATTATATCACTAGATAAAGCTATAAGCAATTTTCAAATACCACTGTTCAAAAAATTTGGATGCTAATTACGAAAAAAAAATGAACTTTTTATTTTTGATCGTCAAGTATCGTCACAATGTTATGAAATGGATTTCTGATAGAAGTTCGTTTACTTTTGAATGAAATATACATAATTTGTACATATACGAATTCTATGAAGATTTAAATAAAATTACAGAGTTAAAATTTGTTTGTTTTTAAAATATGTCAATTTAATTTGGGCAAGGTATTTTATCAATGTAACTGCTGCTTTATGGAGAATCTTAAAATCTAAATTAAATATATTTAACTAACAATTAAACTTATTGTAAACTTAATAAGGAAAGCAAAATACATGAAATATATGATTAAGCAAATACATGTTTACATACAATTATGAATTGCATTTGATAATGATTAATGTCATCAACCAAAGAAAAACTTATAAAAACGTATAAAATTATGGTAACATAAACTATCTATGATGATATAGAAAAGCTAAAGTAAATGACATTTTGCAGAACTACATAACAATAAATGTACAGAACTAACTAAAATATACTATACTATACCCATTAATACCAAAATAAATAGAATAAACAATAAAAAATATTACTTTTTTCGAATTTTGTTTAGATACAATTTAGGAACGATAGTGATTTTATATTGAAATGCTCTTTTAGAAAAATAATGAATCCAACTCTATATTATAATTTTTTTTATATTGGTATATTTGTATATTTTGAAAAATTATTAATACTATTATCAAGCATTAAAAAAAATATTATAAAAGTGAATTAAAACTCTAACGAAAAAATTATTCATTTTCTTTGTGCAATTACTTATAGATTTTTTGAATAAAAACAAACTTTAACATAATAAATTAAATAATGATTGTCTAACATATTAAGTGCTAATTTTCTTCAAGGATTTCTGCTGGTACCAAAAAATATATTAGTTACAAATCATAAATTTATATTGAATTTTTTTTGTACTCTGTTGGTTTAAGCAATGAGAAATATATTAAAAATTAATACTAAAATATTCTGAAATAATATTTATGTTAAAAGTTTTAAACAATATCATTTCAAAACTGTATATTATAATTTATTGTCATTTTTTATATAATATGCATAACTTATACATATCAAAGATCTTAATATATGTTATATATAAGCACAACCGATTTATATCTAAAATCCACAATATTTAGAAATAATATAAAATTTAACAATTTCAAATGAATAAAACTTTTACGCTGTAAAAATTAATAACTAATGCGTTTATTATATTAATATTAATTCGTTAACTTTAATGGGTTAATTAAAACACCATAATGTATAATATTAAATGAAATCTGATAATTATGTGAATATGTGCAAATAATTTAGTGTAAAAAATAATGGTAATTTATGTTTTAAAATGGTACCCAGCTATATATGATAACACATTATAAAATGTAGTTATAAAAATCTATAAATTTTATAAAACTAGTTAAGATTGTATTATTTTAATTAATTATGTATATTCAATTTTCAAAAAATACAAGATTTTGAAAATCTCAAACTACATTTTATAGTGCGTGATAATCTATAAATATTATTAATAACTGATAAATGAATATTATATTCAAATCTAGATAAAAAATAAAGCAAATAATACTATACAGAACACGAAATGCTAGTAATACAAACCAAAACACTTATGTACAAAAACCGCATGCAAATAAGTTTTGTTATATACATATATACAGGCTATTATAATATGAATTAATAATAATTAATGAGCAAATATTAGGAAAAATGATGATAACTTTTGGATAAGTGTTCTTCAAGAACATATTGTTTTTCATTAGTTTATTTTGCATACATCTGCTTGGGTTCCAATTGAAACGAAATAGACAAATTGCAATAATAAAATTGTTCTAGAAAGCTAATACCCTAAGCCTAAGTTTTGTCTTTTGAAAGTGCTTGTTGTCATTATTCCAAATACTACTATCGTTACATATTTGCTTTATTATAATTAATAATAATCGCACGGTTTTTAATTTCCTCATATAAATTATCTAATGCAATAAATTAAATTATTAAGTTTTTATATTAATAATCAAATTATAAGATAATATAGCATTTTTATTCTGATGTTGTTCATCAAACACTAAGGGTCCTAACTGCATGGCAACGCTATGTTACGCTCCTTTCTTCATATAAATTGGTAGTAAAAACTGTCAAAATACTATGTTTTTGCTGTGCAGTCGGGCATTTTAAATATAAAACCTAACCTAACTAGTGGTTAATAAAAAATTCAAATTTTTGAAAAAACCTTTAAAATTTGTTGAAAACTTTGAAAAAAAAATAAGATTTTTGAAATTTTTGAAAAAGAATTTTTTTTTGTATTTAGACATTTTTTATGCAGTGCTCTACTCGCCTTTGCAAGTGAGAGACGGCTTACGCGGCTGTTCTATGAGCGAGAGCGTGTACTTGCTCAGGTTTTTTCTACTTTTGAATGTGTTCTACCACATGGACTAAAACTAAATTTTGCATAGCGTAAGAAAAACGAATAGTCATTCTAACGATGCTAATTAAAAATTAGTCCAGATAACCGCAATACCCAAAAATTCGGAACAAAAAAATGTTTTCACCTTTTCATAGACTAACAAATAATTATTTAACAATATTTGTTATTGATAATATAGTCCAAATCGATGTGAATAGAAACGGGTTATTTGTGTCGATGTCTTATACAGTTGCGTCAAAAAACGACTTTGAAGAAAGGGGCCACTTTCACATATTTTCAATGATATCTCGGCCAAATTCTCGGAGCTACGGATTTGAAATTTGGTATTTCGAATTTTCTCGAAAATACCTATAAAATTCTGTATGGAAACACGATCAGACCCTTTTTCTGAAAATTCAAAGCAATCGTGCTGTGTGGCTGTTTTAGAGAAGGATACTATCTGTATTCTTCTCTAACATTGATGCCCCATAGAAATGTAAACAAAGTTCATACTTATTCTTAAAATCCCTATAAAATATCTGATAATTTGATGCGCATATGTCTAATAATCATCCTTGACCAAATGACTTTTTTTTACTTTTTTCGCTCGATCTCTGAAACTGCTAGAGCTCCCTTCGCAAAAATTTGAAAGAATGTTATCATTACGGCATCTTTCTTGTGTATCATGATAACACATACTTGAAGTTAGATTTTATATGTAAAACGCCTGATGGCACAGCAAATGCATAGCATTTTGACAATTTTTACTATAAATTTATATGAAAAAAGGAGCGTAACATAGCGTTGCCAGAACAACGCTTTAGAAACAATTGTTCCCTAAATCATTTTTCTGTCTCAAATCTCAAAAGTCTGATTATATGTTTCATTGTCAGTAATTTATTCTGATCTATTTTATTGCAATTTGTCTTGTTAATAACATTAGTGTATTTATCATATTTTAAGGAATTTATTATAAAATCAGTATAAACCATGGCTTCTTAAACTATGGGTCGCGACACCATAGGAAAATTATGGGATCGCGAGAAATTTAATAACATCACGTCTAGATTTTTGTAAATTCTAAAACTATATATAGATGTATGTGTGTGTATATTATTGCATAAAATAATAAATCATCTAAAAATATTAATTTCTCTTTCTTTTATTATTAAGAAGCCCTGGTATATACTATGGTAACGCCAAATATAATAAAGAATTTCTACAGATGTGTATGCAAAAAAAAACTATACTCCAAGAAAACAAATTTTAGTCGTTCATAACAGATGGATTATATATTAAGTATTGTCATTGAAAAAGTGCAATTTATGATAGTGGACGATAGCATGAAAAATATAATGTCAAGAATAATTTGGCATATATGTGCAAGATTTAAGTAGATAGATTTATCAACAAATAATACGTTTTTTATACGATTATTATCCTCATAAACGATTAAATATAAATATCATTTATATTAGATTAAATATATTCCAGAGCTGATTGGCAAGTACCTACTCTAGTAAGTACATTTTAGGTCTTATTTTGAATATAATTAAAAGTAATTAAGAACAATTCGGCTCATATGCGTAAGAACAATGTCTGTTTTGGTTAGAAGTCGCATTACAATTTTAATACAAGAGTAAGAGTTTGAGATTAACATTAAAACGCCTTATAAACATTAAAAAGTCAATAGTCTTCATTGGCAAGTACTATATCATACGTACAATCCGGGCAATTTTAAATCAAATTTTATTGATGCGAAAAACTCAATTTGTGGTTACATTTAAAATAATTTTAGCTAGAATTATCAATCATAATGTTTAGTTTTCTTCAGCTGTTTTTTAACAAAAGAACCACAACACCAAGACGTCGCACGTTTGGTGATATAAGCCTCATTTCTAAAACTCTGTCTCCGTTGAGCAAAACCATATTCAGGTTTAATTTCATTAAGAGAAGGATTAGACCTCTGTGTATTGTCTTTTTTAATTTTCGAATCACGTGTGTTCAACGAAGGATTAGATACGTGTACAGGATTCGTCCTGCATTCGTTATAAGCCGACATCGAGTTAAGGTTAAAATAACGAGGATTAGCAGGCAACCTGGCAGGTGTTACTTTACAATTTGTATTAATATAAGGTTGGAACACAACGTTAGTGCTATTAGAACAAGATGCTGGGTTAATTTTAAAAACGCGATGATGGTTATTCAAAAATTGACCAAAACGTTGTTTGTTATATGCATGGTCTGCATTAACATACAAATTACCCTTGGAGATTATATCTAAATCCACAGCTGCTTGGCGCGATTCACGAAAGTCATCATGAAAAGAATAAGTTACATGATCAAAATATGCTAATGTCTATCTATTTAACTTGATGCAAGATGGAGATAAATATTAATCAATTAGCAGTCTTATTAATAGGAAAATTCTGCCTCATAATATAACGTTGTCATGGCAAAGCTATCTTATGCTTGTTTCTTGGTAGTGAAAACTGTGAAAATGTCTATTTGTTGAGCGATAGCGTTTTTTACATATAAACAAGCAAAGAAGAATCTTATGATAACAGGATCTTCGATAATGCAGTTGTTATAACATTCTTCCTAGCTTAAATGTAAAATACACCTGATCGCACAGCAAATAGATGGACGATTTCACAGTTTTCACTACCAGAAAACAAGCATAAGATTGCGTTGCAATGACAACGTTATGTTATGAGGTAGAATTGTCCCATAAACATGAGTATAAAAGTCGCAAATTTAGGAATAAGAATGCTTTTTATGATATCAAAAAGTAGAGTAATTTTCCATAAAACCCAAATTTTTCTTCAACAGAGATTTTTTTTGTCTATTCACAATCATGTTTAATGTTTGAAATGAAATAAAATTTATGAAAAATCTAATATATAACGGAATTGAATTGAAAACATTAATATAATAATATGATAAACTAAAAATAACGAGACACAGCAACATACTAATTAACTAATGCAGTGGAAAATACGAATATGATCTTGATGTCACTTATATAATATATATCTATATACAAAAAGTATCCCAGAACTCAGTGTCAAGCTGAAACGGGACGATAGTATTGATCGTAATTATCATGAAAAAATAAATCATCTCGCATAGATTGAAAACTGTGAGCTTTTAAGTAAGTCAAAGCTTTGGCCACACTTTGACTATTTTTCGGTTGTTGTGGTTAATTTATATTAATTTTGTTCATTTAAACGTTGAAAAGGTAACTGTAAATAACATTTCTAGGACCACAGTGAAATATAATAACATATTGCCCAATGAATTTAAAATTTTCGAAATGCGTCGACTTTGAGGGCAAATATTCCTTTTCAAAAAATGTATTAAAGTGTGTTTGCCATCAAAAATTGGCGGATTCGGAATCAGGATTGTGAAATGATATACTTGATAGTTCTTAATATAAACAATTTTATTTGTTTCTATTATTATAAATTTACCCCGTATTTTACCATTTTACAGTCTTGATTAAATGCGCCAACTTTTGATATAACTTTACAACACACTTTAGCGCATTTGTTTTAAGGGAAGTTTTTTCAAAGTTGATCAATTTGATTTTTTCAAATATTTAGTTTAACAAATAAACCTTTGAGCAATTGTGTCATTAGTTTTTTGACTGTAGACCTAGAAATGTGATTCACAGTTACTATTCCATTATTTTAAATAAACAACACTAATAAAATTAACCACAATAACCAAAAAATGACCAATGTGTGAGCAAAGATTTGGGTTGCACTTTAAAGCTCTTAATTTTCTAACTACATGAGATGATTAATTTTTCGTGATAGTAACAATCAATACTATCACCTCGTTTTGGCTTAACATCGAGTTCTGGGACATCTGTATGTATATAAACATACATCCATATATATGTAAGACCAACAAATGTAAATATAAAATACATAATATGAATTATAATAATAAGCTCGATGAATAATAAGCCGACATGGATATATCCCAATAAATAATAAACCTATGTGCAAAAAAGCTTCATATCAAGAGAGAGATAATATTTTACTAAGAAGTGATATATAAAATGGCAATATAATTACATGCAAAAAAAATAGCTTACAAATTATAACAAATTTTTTTGTTATCTTCCATAAAAACTTTAAATTTTCAAATACTGATTATGACTATAAAAAATCGTGTAGTAAAATTTTGAATTTAATTTAGCATATGTAAGCTATCTTTTTCTAATAGAAAAATATATTTAAAAAATCCTACCTTTAGCTGTGTTATTATTTGAAGCTGCATTAGGTGTATAATAGGTTTCAAAGGCTCGAAATACTTGATCACCATCTTCATAAGCTGATCTTGATTGTTGTCTTAATGAATTATTCAAAGGAGGCGGTGGATAAGAACCCATATTTGTCGATTTCCATGCTGAAAAAAAATTATATATAAGTCTCAAACGAGCACATGACTTTCTATCGATGTTCCCTGACTGACCTGATACATTAATTGCATAAAATACTTTAAAAGAGATCATTTTCGTGAGAAAAAATAAAAAGTATTTAATTTGAAGAATAACTTAAAATGAAAAAAAAACTATAGTTAATATATAATTTATCTATTATACATGACATCCATTCTAATAGAAATCTATCAAAAGAAATGAAAATCTACCTATGATGTTACCCATTTAATTTGTGTTCATAATCTTACCTGATAAATTTTTATTTTGATTGTTGATCGGCGGTTTAGTTTCGTTTGCATACTGTGTAAAACTTTGATGATGATTAAATGAATGAGATCTCTGTTGATACATAGGTAAATCTGGAGACTTTGCTGGAGGAGATTTGGCTGGAGCAAAACATCTACTTGAACTACTTTGTGGAGTGAGAGGTGGCATCTAGAAAAAGCAGAAGAAAATGATTAAAAACAATCAACCAGTTGTAGTAGTAATAAAATGACTAAAACATAATTTTAGATAATGTGTCAATAAGAATTTAAACATTTTTAAATCAACCAACTGATTTTGAATTTTATGTCGTAGACATTCACTCTACTATAATTATTTCCGCACATCCAATTTTGTCACATTTGTTACACAGATTAGATTTTAGAATATTATCATACTATTTCACATCAATTATGTGCATTAAATTTTAATTTGGATATTATTATATAATAATGGATTCTGGTTAACTAATAATGAATACGAACAATTATAAATATGCAAATATATGTACTCAAATAGATAATAAATGATTGATTATAATTTCAGAATAAGAGAATAGTAAATATAAATGTTGCTATTTCCTAAACATGCACACTTCGAAGAAGCAGATATTTTTTATATTTTAATGTTTTCAAAGTATGTTAGATAACGAGCATTCAAATATCCACATCAATCAAAAAACAAACGATATTTTATAAAATTGTGGTAAATCAGTTGCAACAAATTGTCAAAAGTGTTTTTAATTTGAAATAATTTCTGATTATCCTTTACACAGTTGACAATGTGTTGAAACTGTGTTAATTTTGGCATGATGCAATTATTCCCATGCCCTATGCATGTACAACATAAAAGATTTTAATTGTTAAAGAGAATAATTTGCTATTAACATATAACAATTTGCACTGTTAGTAGTATTTTGTTACATGATTTCATAAGAAGTATGTATGTATTATCCAGTCTTGTATTAGTAGATGACAGTGATATACTACAGGCAAGGCAAAAGTCCTACGATTCACAAAAATGAAGCCAATCTATTATGTCGTAATATAAAAAATGCTTTTCAAAAATTAATAGTCTTTTATAGATATTATTATAACAAATAAACAGAAAAGTCCAAATGTAACTTTTAGTTATCCTCAAAAACATTCTTGAACATAGAAAAGCATATTATATACTCGCTAAAAAAAAAAAAACTTCAAAATTAGGACAATCAACTCCAAACTATTGCAGAAACCGTTGCCTTGCCTGAGATACCAGCAACATCTTTCAAAGCCGCTATTGACAGAGGAGCTTTAAGCCACCAGTGCGCGTACAATCCAGTTCTGAATACTTGTCTGGTATCAGAAACATCAGCAAATGCTGCTCTTTCTTCGCTTTGACTTCTACCATCTCTTCCTTCCAAATTCGTTGGATCTTTCACCAGTTCTCGGTCATCATCATTAGGTGCTATGTATAAATTATTTCTTAATGTAATGTTATGCAAAGATGAAGAATGCTTAAGTTCATTGTTTGAAAATTTTAGTCTTTGTTCTCCAATTTCTTTGGTGGCATTATTTTCCTTAACTTCACAATTGCTAAGATTACGGCATGATGAAGCAGAAGAAGAGCTTCCCAACTTTGGTCTTTCTGATAATTTTTTCTTCTGTGCATAAATATTGTCTTCAGGAATTATCGTGGGACCCATGGGAAAAGAAGTCGTGCACGGTATCATATCTTCAAATTTGTACGAATCTAAAGAAGCTTCAGTGATCTGTTGAAAATCAGGTGTAAACAAAAATCCATTAGGCTGATCAGACGTGGTTATAGTACAACTACCAGCCATTCCTGAATCCGAAGATCTTGGGCTATGACATTGAGAAGCATTACAACAAGTGCATATGTTTTTGAAACTCGGATCCGCTTTGTTAAATTCCGAAAAGTCTACTGATTTGTTAAGTAACTCTAAATATTGATGGCTCACACATCTGCGTAGACTTTTTCGTTTCATTTCTTGAGGTTCTAAATCCACACTGGAAGTACCAGATGTTAACTTCCTACTGTCCTTATTGACCGATGTGCGCATTTGTTTATCCGAGTTTATAGAATGTTTGCGAAATGGGATGTCGTCAGTTTGAAACATTGTGGGAGGACGAATTACTGATTCATTACTTCCACCTGGATTATACAAAAGTTCAGCAAGAACCTTATTTGGTACAGGAATCACATTAATTGGAATATCTAAGCTTGACGAATGGCTCACACTAGAATCTTCTTTATCGAATTCGTTTGAGTCCACTTCTGGCATTGAGCTAACTTTCTCATACCTATCATGTTCATCAGAATCAGAACATTGCCAAGAAGGAATACAAACTCTAGTATTTGGGCAAACATTGAACCTATTAGCGACAAGTTGACTTGGCATGCTATGACGCATTTTATCAACACTAAAATCTTGTTTCTTCAATACTCCAAGAGAATCACATATCACAGCATTTTCATCAATATTAACTAAGTCTTCGCACGCCATACATGGCTTCGTAAAATGATCAAAACTAGAATTTTCAGAACTTTCTGAAGTTTGTTTGAAAGTCCCTAATAGCTTCTGTGTGGATTCGGTTTGGTTCGTGATGAGAAACTCGTCGTCATCAAGATCTGTTATTTGAACACCATTGATTACACAGCTATTATCACCAAACTCAAATGCCTGACCATGATCAACAAAGCTATTAGTATCTTGTTCCTCTCCTTCACGAACAAAATATTTAATATACTCAAAAGGATTACTATCACAACTTCCTGATGATGCTTTGTCCACGGCATCTTGTCGTTCTAAATTTCTTCTATTTAAAGTATTTATAAAATTCTCATCATCGCTAGTGAGAAAACTGCTGTCACTTGTACTATCGTAGGACGAACTACTCTCACGATTGATATGGCATTCCGTCCTGAAATGCTTTCTTCTCTTGACAAAACTCGTATCATGAATTATATCGCATTCAGGATAAAGCAATACTTTTAAAAGCGCCTTATTTATGATTTTCTTCTTTGCAAATCTTGCAAGGCAGGCGGTGAGTAGAGCATAAGGTGCAGTCGAAGGATATGTGAACGGCGGTAAAGTAAGTTTGTAAGAAGTCGATTCTTGGAAACGTAGTATTGATGATCGGTTGGAGTAACCACGAAAATTGAGCTTTAAAAATAATTTTAAAAGAAAACTTATTGTAGAATAGACTTACTTAGCACTTAAGTCAATTCATTTGAACTTGGAAATGCATCTATGATTCAAATAAAATCTATTAATGTAAATTTTGAGAAAAAGTTTAAAAATACGATGATCATGTAAGCATTCTAAACGGAAAAATCATTCATCAATCCTTTTCAAAATTTAAGACTTTACAAGTAAAGTATCAAACAAAATTGAGGAGTTGGCAACCAAAGTGAGCTCCACAAATCAGGACAAACTGAGATACAGTGAGAATATAATGAGTTTTTCACAAAATAATGTTTCTAGACTGGAATAAACATAATATTTATATCTGTTGTTAAATGACAGGAAAGCTTTGGCTCTGGCTCTAAAGTTCTTACATGTTTTATGAAAACCCAGGGGGTCTATGGGGTCAATTTCATTTATGTAATGAAAAGTTGAAGTAAAATAGCATGAAGATAAAAAGTACGCAGTATGTAAACTAATTGGAGACAATATCAAAACATTTTAAAAATATCAGGTGTATTTGGGATGGTCACCAACTCCTCAATTGTTTTAGGAATATATATATATAATTAGCGCAATATCATCTGCATATAAAAATTATTATTTCTACAAAGGTAAAATATAATTAGATAATAATATTAGTAATAATAATTTACACAAGAAAAAACAATGGAGCGATTTCTACATAAAAAAAATCTAAAGGTGTGGTACATACATACTCCTGATTTTTCTAGCCATAAATACAAATGCCGAATTACAGTTATAGAATACAAAAATAATAAAATTAATCATAACATAGATACACCATATAAATAAGGTTCTATAGGCCTCTATGCATAACAGTGTCAAGTAACATTGGTACGTTTACAGAGCATGGTATTTTAATATTAATTTTATTACTCCATATAAACGAATTAAATTACTAAAAATAAAATTGAATATGTTATAAACAATATATATAAAAACTTACATGTGGTGGTTTAGGTGTTATGCTCAAAGAACTGGCGGAAGGAGGTAAGCATTTCACAGAAGATCCATGAGCATTCAGAAGTTCCACCTAAAAAAAAACAGACTTAATATATATATATATATATATATATATATAAATATATATATATATATATATATATATATATATATATATAAAAGTGCATACCCATTTATCAGCTTCTCCTGAACTTTTACATGTCACCATAATTTTTTCAATAAGCGGACCATCAATTTCAAAAACATTTTTATAAAATTCTGAATCATCAATTCTAGTAATTGTTTTTCCAGCTAGTGGTAGCTTGCCCTAAATATAATTATTATATTTATATACAATTTAATTTGTACAACGAAAACAAATATATATATATATAAAAAAATATATAATAATTTACCTCATAAATAAAAGCACTCATTCTCTGACTGACACTTAAAAACAATATCGTTGAGGGAAACAATACTAAAAACCTAAGCAAACACAGAATATTTAAAATAATAGCAATGTCAATCAACTCATAATTCAAAAAATAAAATATTTACCTATCTTTTTGATCTGGTCCTACTGAAACACAACTCATATGTATTATATCACCTAATGATGTAACAGGTTGACCTTGCCAACCTCTAACTGGCCCTGTTAATACTTGTAATTGAAGCTCTTTCTGCTTTCGAGTTGCACTGCACACACTCTGCAAATTTTAAACAATTGATTTCATATTCAAAAATTCAAAAAATTAAATCACTAAAGGCATTAAAACATGTTCACATATCATGTTACATGCTGTGAACAAATTAAAAAATAAAATTCATACTGGTTCTTTATAAATTTGATTTTGGATCTAAAACTCACATCAATGTCTTTATATACAGCTACACCCCTCTGAGTATCGCCCCGATCAGGGTCTGATAATTCCATATGTCTTTCTAGTTCTTGCAGCATAGCTGAATATTTATGCAATCTTCGAAATGGTTTGCTCAATCCTGTTATTAAAACTAACACACCAGGTGATGCTGCACCAGATTGCTCCATAAACGCATTTAAATCATCTCTGTAATTTGAATTTGAATATAAAATAAAAGTATCTAAATTATTATGTCAATAAATATTTAAGTATTAAAAATAAATAAATATGATTAATTAACTTCCCGTAGGGTAAGTTATAGTAATCGCAAAAAAATCGAAAATGAAAATTTTTATATATCTTTACGTTTCAGAGGTTTCTGAATATTTTGGCATACCTTAGAAAAAATGGATGTATGTGTGTGTGTGTGTGTGTGTGTGTGTGTATGTATGTATGTATGTATGTATGTATGTACGTGTGTGTATGTATGTGCGGATACAAATTTTCGTCGACGATTTCGGGCACACGGATCAACCGATTTGAATAATTCAAAAAACATTCGATTCGTATTGATAAGGAGACGTGCTGATTAGTTTTTGGCGAAGTCAGGTCTAGCCGTTCCAAAGATACGGGGCAAAAAGTGCCGAAAACGGTAACTCAGTTTTTAAGAGAACGGAGCGTCCGATTTTGATAATTCAAAAAACATTTTACTTGTATTGATAAGGTGAAGAACCGATCAAATTTTTATAAAGGCAGGTCCAGCGGTCTCGGAGATCTAATGAAAAAAGTAAAAAAAAATGCCATTTGGCGGTCAAAAATGATCATTAGACATATGCACATCAAATTATGAGATATTTTATAGAGATTTTAACAATAAGTATAATTTTGGCTTACATTCCTATGGGTTCCGTACCAATGTTTACGCGTTAGACGTCGACGCGGCGCTTACGCGGTTTGATATTTCGTCTTTATGCAGTTAAAGCAGTACGATTGCTTTGAAAAAAAGTTTAGATCTTTCAAAATATGTCAAAATGAAGAAAATATTTTTTTTTCAAAAAAAAAAAAAATTTAAAAAAAAATTAAAAAAAAAAAAATTTTCTTTTTCAAAAAAAAGTAATTTTTTGTCTAATTGTTTGTCAAAAATCTTATTTTTTCGAAGTAAATTTTTTTCAAAAATGTTAATCGTTTTTAAAAAAATAATAATTTTTGGTACGGGAAGTTCCAGCAATTTGCCTTGAGGCACGATGCCTTAATTGCCTTAAGACAGAATTCCACTTACAGCTAGTTTTCATTATAATTTGGACTTTGAAATTTGGAAGCCAAAAACTAAGCTTTTTACTAAACATAAAATAAAATGATATAAATGCAATTAGATTACAACTTTTATAATAAAATTGTGATGAAAGTAAACTTACTTATACTTGTCAATGATAACCACTGCCCTAGGATGATTAGCGCAATATGTCATATGCACAGATTTAAACTTGCGTGCAATTTCTAAGAAGGCTTTTCCAATCCTATCATTATACATGTTGCCTGGATTGCTTGGCCTTTGAATTTCAGATAATAATTTATCATGTATTAGAAGCACATCTTTGAAATTGCCTATTAATTGTGAAAACTCATCCACAGTTAATCTGTAAAAATATATTTCATTAAATTAATATCAAAATAAAAATGTTAAGAAACAAAAACTTGAATACTTACATCTCACTATTTTCTAAAGGAAGTAGAAAATTTGTGTATAATCCATGCAGCTCAGCGACATGAGCCTTTTCAGAATCATGTAAGTCTTTTATGACAATTAAACGGCAAGCTTGCGATTCTTCAACAGCCTTTGGAAGAGTAACTGGTTCTAGAATAAAATTTATTTTTAAAATAAATGAATAAAATTGGATAAATTTGAAAATGCTTATAAGTTGGCAAATCAAGTAAATCATCACATTAAATTGCTCAATTAGAAGAAGCCTGATTATCAATAATAAACCATTTGTTATTGCATGTATGAATTGAGCGAATTTAATAAGATATTATAACAAACTTATAAGTAACCTAGTGAAATATCCTGATAATGAAATGTTACACATACATTTAATTCGTTCAAGAACAAGAAGCAATCATTGCTTGTAGGTTTAGCTATATTCCTTTAGGAATGGACGGAAGGGTAAATACTGTACTGTTTAAATAATATAATGTATAAATATACACATCGCTCATATTGTGTATAAGTTCCTTATTAATTATTCATAATAATGTAAGGCCAGATATAAAAATTGTAATAAATAGGATAAAAAGTAATTCGTTAAAAGTAATTACTCACCATTATGTTCTTTGACATAATTTGCGGGAAACCATCCTGTAATGTCTCCCAAAGTTCCTTCCCACCAACCTCCTTCAACTTTCTGTGTAATTGTTATAATATCTCCTCTCTTAAATGTAAGTTCATCATTGTGGGTTCCCTTATAAGAATATAATGCTTGGACTGTGAGAGCGTTAGCAGCAGTATTCGCCATATTCATAAAAATATTCGAACGCTCTGGCAAAAGTCATTCAAGTTAAAAATTAAAGACTTGCCATAAAATTATGAAAAAAATTATCAAATAACATGCCATTGGAATTTATAAATAGATCGCTTAGTAGTCATCTTTAAATTTTCGTAGACATAATATGCTGGCCGCTCCTTCAATCTTGTATAAATTTACATACCCCTAGCAATGAACATATATTTCTGTAATTATACCAAGCATAAACTAGCAACAATAACTTTCTTAAACACTTCAATGGAATAATTAGTTCTTAAAAATTAACTCATTTTGACAGGTAGGAGGAACATATGTCAAAAGGCCATAGCACAACTGCAAATGATCTGAAGTTGCCATTATGATCTGAAGTTGGCCAACTTTTAAAAAGTCGGCGCTAAATTCAAATCATTATAATATTTTTACAGATTTTTCTACTGTTACTGTATGGACTGTATGGTACCGTCAAATCATCTTATTTTAATAAGGTCAAATTAAATTTAGGCCGAATAGAATTATAATGAAATTTACATATTTGATACAAATATATTTAAAATAAAAATAAAAATATTTCAATAGTATATATATTATCAAGTAATATATATTATATAATCCATAAAAATATCACTGTACATTTTCCACCTTATAATAAAAATTCAATTTTAAATATATAATAAATTTCTTTCACATATATTATACACAAAGTTAATTAATATTATATTTACAACTTATATAAGTAAACAAAATTTTTTAAATATCTTGCTTACTGTTATATATATTGTGCATAAAGTTCATTAATATTATATTTATAACTTGCAAAAGTGAATAAAACAGTTTAAATACCTTTAAACACATTAATAAGTTGAAGGAATATGCTTTATTCACATCCTTTTCCATCTAAAGCAGTTTAAAGAAATCTTTTATCATATTTTCCAATTCCTCTATTGCTAGTTGAGCATGTAGCTTTAAAGTTTCATCCTCATTGTTTTCATATGATATCCTCAAAGACCTTAATAAGGGAGTGAGAGCAGGTCTCAAAACAAGCAAACTTAATTTCTTTTCTGATTCGTTTTCATTCATTTGTAAACCTCGAAGTAATTGTGTACAAAGTAGTATTGAAGATCTTTTGACCTCTGGTGATTTTTCATTGACTATACAGTGTTCAACCTTGTTTAATATCTGAAATATAAATATAAATATATATAATTATCAGAGGTATTTATATTAATAATATATACCTCTGAAATTATTTCAGTTCCCATAGAACTCCCTAATTTATTACAAAGCTCGCCGAGATTTGAAAATGCTGATGATCGAACCAAAAAATCCTCATCATGTGTGCCACTCAGAAAAGTATTAAGAAATACTGTTTTATACTTTTGGACAATTGATTTTTCTGGAAAATAAGATAATTATAAAAATCCATCTCTAATATTTTAGCAACTGAATTAAGCACCTGCATTAAATATTAATTTTACTAATGCTTCACCAACTTTTAATCTTAGCTCTTCTTTTCCATCCTTCTGAAATTTATCATGTCGATTATTTAAATATTCTTGTGTCAGCAATTCAATTACATCTTCTGGACATACTTTGGAAACTTCTGTTAATGATTTTATTACAGCTAAATATATATATGAATCTTCATTTTTGAGGTTTTCCTATTTAATAAAAAAAAAATGTGAAGATTAGAACATTTTGTCTACAAAATCTGTACAAAGCAATATCTTTTTTCAATGTTTAATACAGTGTTATCTTTATAATAATTTATATAAAGAAATAGAAGAGATGAGCTAAATTATTAGGTTAAAATTTTGAAATATTTAATTTTTAGTAAAAATAATATTCTTTCTTTTATTGTTTAAATTATATGAGTTAATACTGTTAGTTTAAATTCTAAATAGTTTCTACCTGCAAAATACACAAAATAGCATGCTTCTTTGCAATTGCTTCATTATCATTCTCGTGAATTAATTTTCCCAATTCCAGAATTCCATGTGCTCTCACCGGAAGTAAGGCATCACAAACATCATTAATAGCCTTATGATATCTAGAGTCAGAATCATCGGAACTAAAATGAGTATCTAAAAATATGTTCCATTAGTAAAATATGTACAAAATATTGAAAACATTACGTACCTACCAAGTGGTACATTATTTAACTTCCTTGATATACTATTGTGTATCTCATTGATCAAAAGTTTCATTTCTTGTGACAAATTTACAGATCTCAATTTACTAACTAATTGAAGAACTTTTTCTAAACTATCATTATTGCAATTATGCATAATCGTTGTTAAAAACATTAAACAAATGTTTATCAGTTCACTATTTTCTTCTGAGAAACTAGAACATTGAATCTTTCCTTCCAAAATTGTTAACAATACATTAATAAGACTATCAGTGTCTATAATAATCATATCTTGTATATATTCTTTTTCCGAAATAATCATCAAAGATTCTATTAAGTCTTTCTTCGCTAATGGGTTGATGGAATTATTGCATAAACTTTTCAAAATATAGATAAATAACAGGTAAATATGTTTTTGATTGTTTTTACTTTCAAAAAGTAATATCAATGACTTTATAATTAATTGTACATTGTTTTCATATTCATTGAGCAAGTTTTCTTTAATTTTTTTAGAAGATTGTTCTTGTTCTAAAATTGTTTCTAATAATTTATGGAACTTTTCAGGTTGAAGCACTGATACGTAATTATAAAACAAATCTTTTGATTTATGTTGAACTGTATCATTTAAATTAATACTTTTACCATAAATAACACCATACAAAATATGAATGCTATTTTCTATCATTTGCAAATCCAATTTCCATTGCGATTCTTGCACAAAGCAAAAATGTAATATATTTAATACTTTTGCAATTGAAGAATCTTCATTAGATTCTGGACTCACATCATGTATAAAATTAGAAATTTTATCTATGATGGATGTAGCATATGTAGCCAAAGATTCATCTTTTGATAATTCTTTAATAGCAGCTAATGCTGAAATTGCTTGAACAGAATCCAGATTATCAACATTATCATTCAAAATTTTAATTATTTGTAAAGATATATTTTGAAAATATGCCTCTTCTGTTAGTTGCATGTGTTTGGTTTTAATTATTTTGACTATCATATTGATATTATTCCAATGCTTTCCTGGATCGTACTTGGAATCAGGTATGAGAGATATAATTAAATATTTTAATCCATCTTCAGAAATTAATAAATTTGATAAATCTTGAGCTATGATTCTACGAAAGAAAAGTGGAGGAATATTGTTATCCTTTCTATACAGTAGCATCATTAATTGCTGAAATATTTGAACTTTACTTAATGCACTATGTACATTAGCAAGTTGGTCTAAATGTCTTTTACGATTGCAACTAATTTCAGCATAAAACTGATCAGTCATTATGAAATTACTTGATTTATTAACAGTATTTGGTTTTTGTATTGGAGCATGGCACAACTGATAAAGTGAAACTAATAAATGACCAATATGATTTTTTACTATTATAGATTTCATTTGTATAGAACCAAACATTAAATCTATCATACCATCGACAGCATGTGATAAAATTTTATACTTCTGCTCTGTTTCAACATGATTTAAATCATCATTAATAGATAAATTGTGATCTGATATAACAGTTAATCCTTTTATAAGGTTTGGTAGAATAGCTAATTTAACAACATATTCTAAAATTATCTCTAATAACTTTTGTTCTGTAAGAGCTATTTCATTCTTATTCGATATGAAATTTTTAATTTCATAAAAAACACAATTCAAATAACGTAGAATAACATGTTGCTTGTTATTTTTTATATCATTAGATTGAAGATTTAATTTCAGTATAACTTCTTCAAAATCTGAAAGAAGTCTCCGTGATTCTATAAATTAAAGAAATGTTAACAATCAACAAAAATACATCTAAATATTAGAGGAATAATATTTACCTGATTTACTAAACTGTACTAAAATATCAATACACTTATTATCGCCCATGTTGCACAATTTTTTTAGTCAACGTTTAAAACATTTTTTTCTGTTAATTATAACATGTAATAATTTTAATTTAAGTAAATTTATTTTTTTTTACATTTTACGTTTTAGACATAAACATACTTAACCTACAAATAAATGGCAGCCATGCTTTTAGAGCTGTCAAACTTTGGCGCAAACTTTGATCAACTTTAAAAATTTTAAACAAATATTAAAATTATTTTAAAAATACCAAAAACACCTTATTAAAATAATTGCACTTGCTCATATATCATCAATTTATGTTTTTTTTAAGAATATACGACGACTATCTATTAACAAGAAATAGCCATGTAAATAATGTAATAAATAGCAATAAATTTGATTTTGTATCAAGTACTGCATGAATTAAATAGTAATACTATTATTATATATGAATTAAATATTGATATTATTATGAAAATTATTAATCAATAGTTAAATTGCTGGCTTATATTGTAAAATACATTAAATTAAAATGCCCTTTACAAGTACCTAAATTTCTCAATTTTTGTATTTAGTCTGCACATTTACTATTGTCTCCACTGTTTGTTTATTAGCTTATTTATAATAATATTAACGTTAAAATAATATTTCAGTCATCAAAACTTATTAAAATATCCCAAAACAATAAATTACATATTTATTTTAACTAAATATTCTAAATGATTACCCCTGACATTTCAGCAGAATTTGAGCAGAATTTTATTCTCGGATGTGACTGTTCCCTTGGTAGATTGAATTTTGTAGAATCAATTTAGTACGAAAAATGTTCAATGCAAACTTAAAACCATACAAAATCTCGTATAATGTGTCTCAACTAGTACCAATGTTGTCCATATTTTAAGGTAAATATTTATAAAAAAAAACCTGTCAAGCTACATTTTAGGAGAAAAATAATTATAGAAATTTTAAATTTAAAGCAGTTAATAAATACCAAGAATCTAAAATGCTGTGTCAACAAAGATTTCTTAAGTGGGCATTGAAACTGCTAATTAGATATATAGAAACAGAACTCAATATTAACAAATTAGTCGATAGTTAATAAATCTGAAATTTAATAATTACCACAATAATTATTGAGATAAATTAGTTCACTTAATTTATTTATGATGATCCATATAATTTAAAAAATATTGAAATAATATGTAAAATGTCACTTCTATTAATTTTGACCTCCTCGAAGTGCAAGTACTAAATGCAAAACAGATCCCCCTTGGACTTTATAATCTTGTGCTGTTTTATCATCGTTCCTGAAAAATAAAAATGTATTGTAATAATTAAATGTATGAAAATAAAAACTAGCTACAAATAAAACAAAATTAATTCACTAAGTAAATATAAAATGTGTTCAAGATTTCAATTATTATTAAGGAGCAATAAGTAATTTGATTTACTTAAGAACATGCAAGGAAGTATAAATAAGGGACGAAAAAAATAGAAATCAAACAGAAAAACATGTTGCTGATGAAGCTAAGCCCTAAATAAAATCCTATAAATTAAAGTAAAATCAATACTTATAAAATGCAAAAATTAAAACTAAACACACTAACAAAAAATTAAAACAAAACAAAATGCTAATCAATGAACTATAAAAACTATATAGAACAAAACTTTTGATTTCTTTTGAAATATTGGTGTTGTGCAACAAAAATTCATATACCTTAACTTAAAAATTTCAGTACAGATGAGAATAACTTTGGTCGATCAAAACTATATGATACTAAATAAGTAATATACACAGTAATTTAAGTACGGTGTTTGAAAATAAACTTAAATTCTCAAATATAAGTCATTTGAACGAGTATAATTATATATTAATGATATAATATATACTTTTAAGATAACATATAATATTCCAAACAATTACATAAACATATATTACATGTATTGTTAAGGGAAACTGGTCATCATTGTTTATAGATAACATTTAAATTTTTATATTAATTTCATTTTCATATTGTAATTTGACAATAACTTTTGTAACTTTTTACAAAGTAGCATCTTTATTATATCGATTATTATGTTTCAATGGCTTAATTGAAGAAATAAATAAATCTATAGTCATTTTGTGTAATTCATAATGTCAAATACAATAAATATACCAATTTCATGAGCATAATTGATTTTCATATTCTTATGATCTACTACTATTCATTCTAAGTAGTATTTTAAAAACTTACATTTGTTTTCCCGAAAAAATTAATCGTTGCTGTTGTGGTGGAATTCCTTCTTTCTCTTCTACTCGTTCTTTGATTCTTTCCACTTTGTCTGTGGGTTCTATATCAATTTCAATTTCCTTGCCGGTGAGAGTCTGAAAATAAATAAATATCACATATCATATAACCTCTTACCTAAACATCATCCAAAATTGAAAAAGGTCTGTGCTTGCCTTACCTTGACTTTTATGAGCATGTTTGAAACAAAATTTTATTTATGATACAATAATTATTTTTGTGAGTTTAATTACTAAGAAATTTTTTATGTGGATGATGCTAAAAGTGTGAAATGTCAGTTTCTAGACAGTTTCATTTTCAGACATGTTTGCAACTGTAGCATAATGGCGTCAAGAATGAGAATGAAGTGAGAGACAAGATGTTTATCGACAATTGAATGAAGCGGGAAATTTGATTTTAGACAATAAACCTAATAAGAATCGATTGAATTTTCTGCAATTTATATGCCAAATTTGTTATTGAAACCAATTCCAGTGAAAAATTACGTAAATTAAATTGAAATTATTATATTATAAAATATTTACGTAAAATCTTGAATTTGGAGTTGATATATGTATCTTAATCGGATGTTATATCACTAAAAATTGTATTGTAATATTGTTGTAAAGTTTTTATCACTTTTATGCATCTTTCACTGCATTAAATAATTGTAATACATTGATCCAACGTCCGACATTTAGAACTATTTACACATTTTGTAATATATTATTGAAATTTCTGTACAATATATTATTAAATTATACGTGAATAACTAGAAATATCAATAGAACTTACCGAACTTATTTCAACATTTAGTATAATATCCTCTTCATTGCATTTCCAAATATGCTAAATTATTTATATTATTCCTGAACAAACAAAAATATTTCACAATTTCTGTCCTGCACCTATAATCCATAGAAATATCAATAGCATAATTTTTAGTAAATGTATATATATATATATATATATATATATATATATATATATGTGTGTGTATGTGTGTGTGTGTGTGTGTGTATACACATAATTAATTTTAAGTTAGTGTTTATTTTAATTATAATTTGTTTTTGATATTTCAAGGTTCCTAAAGAATAAGCATACCTTTAAAAATGAAAAATAAATAGTAAAAAGGGAGGCATTTAGTTCTTTTTTTTTTCATTTGAACTGCAATCAGAACTCAAGAATTTTATAAACTGTTTATATAATATTTTGCTTAACTACATTCGTCAAATTTATAGTAGGCAAACATCTATCCTCTCTATAAAATTAATTTAATTTTTACAATTTTTTTACCGACGAATTATTTTTTGATGCAGCAATGCCGGGTAAGGGCTGTTTTTACTTGCAAATAAATAGATATCTTTTAGTCCAAGTGAAAACCGATGTTACTGCTGCTTGACATCAGATTGCCGAACCGGTTATCGACCTGGAACCCCTGATCGAAAACCCATAGCTCTGTAAAATAAAATGAATACATGCATAAATTATAATCATAGGAAACAGTTCTTATCTATGTTGTTCATCAGTTGTACCTTTAACTTACCCTAAAATTCCATTATGCAATGTGCGTTATGTAACATGTGGGAATAGTAATAGCCATACGGTCTCTATTCCAATAAATCCATAATATAACATTGAATATATGTTATATAATAGCAATATAACAGAGATGTAATAGAGTCTAGAGAGTTAAACTATTGATTTTAGACAAAAATTAAAATATTACTTAGGTCTAGTTAAAACGCTCCTCAGTTTTATAAATCATCAAAAATTACAGACTACTGCTCTTAATAAAGTTAATCGTTAACCAAACACGACTTCAATTTTGGTTTCAAACTGGTCAGAAAGTTTTGGAACGTCGTGGAAACATACATCTAGCAAATCAGATTTTCTGGCGAAAACATTGTTTATTCTTCGTTAAGTTAATAAGTAAGCATCAGTTAATGAAACAAACTAAATATACTTAGAATATTCTTATAATATACATATTTGTTACATGTAATATACATAAATCAAACTTACTTCTATGAGTATACACCATTGAATAAATAAGCAAATATACAAAAATCGTTACATATTTATATTTAATAACATCTTAGAGAGAAGCTCAGTACATAAAATACACATCGAAAGTTATCCAGAATTACTGCTGGGAGATACAGTTATATATATTCATTTGTCTACAATAATATTCTTATATAGAATTTTTCATTTGTGAACAATATATCGTTTATAAACATGGAATAATGGAAACAATGTATATTTAAATGACATTCATGCCATTTTAGGCTATGATAAAGTTTGAGATCCATTTATTGAGCAGGAATGTAGCTTACCGAATGCTGAACATTTCAATATTGGCGTGGACGATGTTTAACCATCTGATAATGCTGGTGTTACCCATCCATATTTCTCGTGAGTTTTAACAAGTGATCTGAAAGCTTCTTCTGCAGACCTCCTAGGAAAATAATAAACTACATTAAAAATATTTGCTACATGTAAAGGTATTTAAAAATTAAATAAAATAAAATGAACTGCCAATCGATGTTAAGATGACCAGTGAAGACCATAACTTTAAAAGGAAAATAAAGAAATATTATAAGGAAATTGAAGACAAAGAAGATTGAAAAGATACTTAAAGACATTTTAATTATAATAAATAGTATATTAATGTATAATGAGATAGTCAAATGCCAATACCAGACACCTCTGTCTGACTGAGATATGAAAATAGTACATCAATAAAAAAAAAATTATTAAATAAAGTAAGCGCTGTTTGTAAATTAACTACAACGCAATGAAATATTACACATTTTTGAAAATGCACTATTATTCAATATATGCATTAAAATTCGATATATGCACTATATCCTGCTACATTTTGTTTCAGAAAAACGGTTGAAAAGGTTAGGCAAAATATTCAATTTAAAATTTATTGCAATTATTAAGTGATTTTATAAAAATTGAACATCATGTTTAAATTTTTTATAATTATTTTGTAATCAACAAATATGTTAATTATTACATATTTTTATCACAAAGTTATAAATAAAAATATTTAAAAGTAATCATTATCTAAATCTTCTGTAAGCTTGATAAAAATGCTATATCAAACCGCAACATATACTTTATTTTTTTCATCCATTTAAATAGGAAAGAAAAGCTTTGAATAAATTAATTATGAGCTTTTCGTATGTTCAGTTATTGATATCTTCTGTTCATTTTAAAATATAGGTAACCCTTATATAACACGAGAGTTACGTTCCGGAAAAAGTACCGCGTTTTACGAAAATAAGGACTAGTACAAAAAGAGGGCTACGTTCCAAATGTTCAAAAAAAAAAACATATGATACATATTATAATTTCATAATAGATATTTGTATATTTATTAATTGTTCTTGAGAAGTAATATATATTAAAATAATTGAATAATATCCAATGCAAGTGATTTTTCTCTTGACAAGATATCCTCATCCTCTAAGCATTTTTCTGCACTACCTTCAAATCCATGCTTTTTGCAAAAATCTGTTTTGCATTTGATTGTTTATAGTAAAATGATCTTTATGTGTTAATTTATAGACGCTTAATACAAAATTGTGTGCTCATTTTATTTGAATTATCTTCATTTAAGAAATATATGATAATAAGTAACTATTCGGGTAAGCTTAGACCTTTTTTTCTATAGAATGTATGAGCTCTAATAAAAATGTCAAATGAGTTATAGCTTTTGCACTAGTTTCATGACTTTTATTGACCTATTGTACAAAAATTTTACTAATTATAAATGGAATTTACTTTGTTTTAATAGATTTTACCATTGTTTTATTTTATTAAGGGTTTGTTCGACTCTTGAACCATGTTAGAGTGATATAGAGCTATAAAAGTACTGTGTTAACAGGGGATATCCTCAATTCTCAAACCGTGTTAGAGCGAATTCGTGTTATAAAAATACCGTGTTATTCGGTGGTTGCCTGTACCTTATTTTTGGTAAATTAGATACTAATTTAATAACATGATGCAAAAATGGACACTTGGTTGTCGAGAAAATAACGAACTTATCACTGTAAAAATATTGTGTTATACGGGTTTTGCGTGTACCTTGCTTTTCGTAAATTACATACTCAACTAATAACATAATGCAAAAAAGACAGGGTTGTAGGAAATAATCAACTTATCAGTTCCTTTGCAGTTTTTTTACAATTTGTATAAAATCCTTACAATATATAAATATAGACATTAGTTGAAACACTTTCGTGCTTATAATTAGATAATATTTTTTATCAATTACCTGCTAAAATCTTTGGCTCCTTTGAATTTTCTAGCGACTCTGCCTTGCCCCTTGACAATGCTGGCTGCAAATTGCATGAGGACTGCTTCCACCGTGTAGGCGCTTGCCCAGCCACGCGGTGTCAAAAGCTCCATACAAATTGCACCACCTGCAACGATTTAAATATCATTTACGACTTAACATAAAATATATGATAAGCTTAATATAAAATTGAATTGCGTATCAAAAATAGGATAACGTAAACTTATTATTATGTATTTTTTCTATATAAGGGTTAAGTAGCACATGAGTTGTGAATAGCGTGCATGAAAGGTGATATAATTTGCATGTGGTAAGATATCGAATCGAATTGTAATAACTTTGGATTAAGTTAAGTGAGTTACAGATTATATTTTTATCATTTATAGATCTGAGCAATTTATTTTTTATTGTTCTACTTTGAGAAAAATAATTCAATTTAACTGCAGGACTATTATTATACATAGTGTTGATAGAGTTTGATTGGGATATAGATGGTTAAGAAATTGCTTTCAAGACAAGGGAGTTCACAACTAACTCACTTTGTCTTTATAAGTTATAGCAATTTTTTATTTATTTTTGGAAAAAACCTTATAAAATGTATTCTGTTATAAACTCTTGAATCATAATAGTCTCTTAGATAAATCGAAAAAATAATAGCTAATAAATAGAGAATATTATATATTAAAAAAATAAAAAAACTTTCATATATGAATATAAACAAACTTTCATATATGAATATATAAAATACATATATTTTCTGTAATTAATATATGTGTAATATTAATATCAATTTATTGTGAAAATTCATTTAATATACAGTTTCCAGAATTTCTTCATATATATCATTTCCAACCAAAATTGCAACAACACCTTTCGTGACGATATTATTATAAAATACAGCTTCCGAAAATTAAATATATATAATATATAATAACATATATTAAAATAAAAAATACTTCTAAAATAAAAGTGTAAGGATTGGACAACCCTTATAAAAATAATTTTCTAGAGGGGTGAAAAATAATTCGATTAATAAAACAACTATTATGAAATCAGTATGTATGGAAATGAAGTGAAAATGTAGAGTTTGCATCTACTTTTCTGTATTAAAAAAAGTAGTTCTTAAATTAAAAAAAGAGTTAGGGGCAGATTCTTGATGCCGTTGATACAAATAAATTGTTTTTTGAAGTGAAATTTAAGCTTTTTTATACTTGAAAATGTCAATTAAATTCAGTGCAAACCATTAACCAACTGAATGCAGAATAAAATTTTATTCGATTACTAAAATGAATTATAACTAAAAATACGAAATGGTATTTGAAGGTAGTAAAATAAAAATTTAGAGTCATATGTGTTTTTGAATTACACATCATAAAAAAATATATAAAAAATTGGTCCCAAAATTAAAAAAAATATATTAGGAGTAAACAATCCTCAATTAAAAATAAGTTTTCTTCTAAGTTGAATTTAAGCTTTCTTATAAGATAAAGAAAATCTTAATCGATTATCTGTGGAAAAAAATCATTGATTGAAATAAGCAGGATAAAAAATTATTGGGATACTAAAATGATAATTACCATATTGGGGTTTGTGCTAAAAGGGTGGAAAGATAAAAGTGTTTTTTTTTAGTTACAAATTATAAAAAAATAAGTCCGAAAAATTAAAAAAAATCATATAAAGGATGGCCAACCTTCACCACATAGGGCCCCTATGAAATAGGGGTATGAAAAATAGATATTGTCTGATTCTCATCAGTCACAGTTTAAAAGGTTTAAATGAACTAATTTAGTAAAGATTAACCTCGATAACCAAAAAATGGTCAAAATTACACCAGAGCTCTAAGTCGCACTTAAAAGCTCATAAATTTCCAAACTACGTAAAATAATTTTTTATCTAATTTTTTTAAGGACAATTAAGGTCAATACTCTCCCCGTTTCGGCTTGACGTCAAGGTCTGGGACACCCTATATATAAAAATAAAATGGTTTTTGATTTACATAAAATATTATGTATTTATAATAGGATGTTCAGAATTGAACCTATTATAGCATGGAAAATATATTTTAGAAAATGTGTTTATCATTTTGCTACAAAGTTACAAACAAAAGAGAGGAAGAAAATCATTGATTTTGTGGTGCTCTCATACCATGGACCTGCCTTCGGGTAGACTATTATTATTTTTATTTTGTTACAAAAACTTCTAGATAAATAATGTGAAACACGTTACCTTCCACATATACCGCTTCATATGTACATAAATATTTCCATAAATATATAGAACAAATTTTTGACTCGTAAAATATTTCCACCCTCCATGACAATGCTTTACATTACATTATAGTGACAGGCATTAGCCTCATTTGCAAGCAATGAGTCAACAGCCACGCGCTGGTTACTCCCTGGTTATTCCACCCCGAAGTCACGTGAACCACGTCCTGGCTGACACTTCCTGTCGGAAATGCATGCACCCCCTACCCCTACCTTACTATCGTACAAATTTATATTGTAACTTGAGTCATCACTTAACTAGTTCTTTTCTTCGACATATATTGCTCAGGAAATGGCACGAAAGGTGGAAATAATTCACGGTGACGAAGCATTTGGAACGTGTGCATACTGAATTAGAAATGTTAAAATAATTTTGTTACGGGGTAATGTAATATTGTCGCGACTTCTAAAGGGGTAGTAAACTTTAAACATGTTAAAACGTATCATTTCACAGGTATTTTACGTGAAAAGTTCATTAAAACTAGACTGAAGTTTCATGTTTTTCGCTTGTATTATAATATAATGAACTGTAATAACAATTCGAATCATTATTTTGTTTAATAATTACAAAACGCGTTGCTAGTTATATGTAGGTTACGCGGGCATCGGAAGTGCTTACTGTTGGATTTTGTAAATAGGTTGTAAACAATAAATTAGTATATAAGAGTTAGACAAAAGTTAGACAGTCAGTCAAACCTGGAGTCAAGCTTAGAGTCAAGCTTGGAGCCAGACATAGTATTCAATAAAATGTAGTCTTTGCTGATATGATAACCAAAAGGTTATCAATAAATATTAATTGTAATAATAGTGAATAATAAAAGTATCATTCAAAGTAAGAAGTGTGTTTACAAATTACTATCAAATCGCCGACTCTGGAGAGTCCACATCACAAATATAATATTTCAACAACTATTCAACTGTTCACCGCTCGGGTCCAGCCTATCATTACAATTCCTGGTCGTACTGGTGATCCAGAACATACATCCAAAGACACTACCAACAGCCCAGGACAATTCAATAAATTATTTATTACATAATATTTAAATAAAGAAACGTACATTACTCACGTGATATTTTTTCAAACATTTTTCAACCACCCTCCTCATTTGTAATATTTGGTGGTATTTATAATTAAACCCACTACCCCCGTCATTTTTTTTGTTACTCAAGATTCAATTACAATCTTGTTTTATAAAATAGAAAAATCATTTATTAATTATGAATGACAATATGTTCTGTTATGACTAAAATAGAGTTCACCCATTGGTATCTCTTATTGTGTTGATTGAAAAGATGTTTGTAATCTAGGTAAAAATTAAAAAACACCCGCCAAATATCACGTGTGTTTAAAGGTATTTTTTGGAAAATTATTGGATTTTTTTTTTAAATTCCTGTTAATAAAATTTTTTGATATTTCGTGATTTTTTGTCAAACCTTTTAGGTGTCACCTGATTGATGGATGGCCCCTAATGATGTATGCAAACGCTTTAAAGCATTTACAAGCCCTTACTTTTTACCTTTCTTAAAAGGTTGTTGTCCGATTTGCTAATTTTAAGTTTTCTCGACGTTTCAAGTCGTTTTGATTCGTCAAGATTCGAAATCATAAAAAGTATGTGTGTGTAAGCCAACATTTGACCGTTTTGTCAACGTTTTCTCTAAAATGCTTAAAATTCAAAAAATTCAAAGCCGTTTGATCAAACTCGATGAGGACTCGCATTGATTAGTTTTGAGCAACGATCGGCCGAGCCGTTTCTTCCAAATTAGCAGATAAGTGCAAAATGTTTCGACCACCTTTCACCAAAAAATCAGTACCGATTTCACAAATTTAAAAACCGTTGAAATATATCAATTGGAAAATGTACTAATTAGTTTTTTGGATTTTTAAAATCGACGGGCCGTTTCTTTGTAATTAGCGATAAAATGTTTAGTAGAACTTCCTATACATCCTAAAATATTACAGACTTAAGAAAAGTTGTTTAATTATATAAATTCATTGAGGTTGAATAATGGGTCATAACCATTTTTCCAAATTCGATTGTTATAATATGAGAAGTTACTAAATCTCAATTATTATTGATTAGGTAAAGATTATATCTACAAATTTAGGAGTTTCTGCAACGTGCTTTAAGGCAAGATTAAAAACCAAATTACCAAAATTTTAGCTTATTTCAAGTTCTATATGGCTTTGTTAAAAATGCCGAAAAAGTTCTCTACTTCATTATATAAAACTATTGATTTATAATCCTAATAATATAATACATATATGAAACATCTAGTCATCTTTGAAAATTGCAGTAGGGTAGGGCGGGGCTAGTTGAGCAAATTTTTACTTAAACGGATGTAGCTCCTCAATGAAAAGTCTCAATAAATTGCTATACGGCTTATTGGATTTGTTGTTTATCGCATAACAAAAGTGTTAATACTTGTTTTTGGTAATAAGTAAAATTTAAAAGCTACAGCTGTTTGAATGCAAAAAGTCAGGTATGCTCAATGTACCCCATAGGTGGGGCAAGTTGAGCACTAAGAAAGTATAATGAAATTATAGGTTCAATGTCGATTAGTGATGAAATAAAATAAGTTTTTAATAACCAGTTCTATATTTATAGTCTTTATTGACAGAGGAAACAAAACTTATAGTAATTTGCTTTGAATAATTAACGATTAATTAACTTAGGAATTATTTTACCATTATATTCAGTATTTTTGTTTAAAATCATTATTTCTTTATATCATTACTCATAGACTTAGCTTAAATCTTAAAAATATTAATTAATTTCTGGAAGTTAATGGTAATTGTCTTAGTGACAGAACAAGTTTAGCAACTATGCTCAACTAGCCCCAACTCGGAATTTCAAAATAAAACTGAGTTTATAAAAAAACCGTGATGATTATACCCAGAATATCTGTGCATATTAAAAATACTATAATTATATGGAAGAATAAAATTTACCTGGTCAAAAATAAATAACATTTGACTAAACTAGACGAAAACTCGTGATGAATGACTTTTTTACTTTTTGGTCTCAAAATAAACAAAGCGCCCGTGAGCCTCACTCATTTGTCCAGCGGCCACTAGCGATCGCGGGATGTTTATTTCTCCCAAACCTCTATCTTTCCGCCATATAATGCCTAAACGGACGGTGAATAGTTTTCGAGATATTTCGATTGCTCAACTTGCCCCTATGCTCAACTAGCCCCGCCCTACCCTATTATTTACTGCAGTAGTAACTTGCATAATCATATTACCTATTAATGCATTATTAAACATATCAGTTATTAGGATATTAAATATTAAAATTCCGATGGTATAGTAAAGATATAGGTAAAAATATAAGAATTGTCCATTTATTTGTTTTAGCACTATTACAAAAGTCTTCAACCTTTTGGCTACGGGAGTGCTTAGAGAACTAGAAATCATAATAAAAGACTATAATTCTCAATACTATAACTAGTATTGATAACGGAAAATTATTGGTGAAGCAATGGCAAACACAACATGTCGTCCCGAGACTACATCCGAATATGCAGCACGTTATGCGGATGTCGTCTCAAAGTTAACAATTGATTATTATAAATGGATCATATTACAACCAAGTTCTAATTAATATATAATTTAATTTTATTAAATCATGATGTGCCTTACCTTCCATGACGAAGCCCTTTTCTATCCGCGGCTCGATGACCCGCATGAACGGCGGTGCGAAAGGAAAATTCTCAGGGAACACTAGATGCAGCAAAATGCAGGATATGTGCATGTCACGCAGGTCGTTGGCCAATTCGCTCTCAGGGTCCACGCGATGCAAACGCACATGCCACTCGAACAGGTTGTCATTCACTAGTTCCACCTTTGAATAATGCATCATTTTATTAATAAATAATTCATTGGATAATATGTAAATCTTTCAAAGATAATAATATATGTACTTCTTTATATCAACTATCATACAATATTTAATATCACGCTCTGCACATCATAGCGAATATGAATTAACCCTTTCCACGCGGATACCGAACACCACCTCTTTCACCCCCAGGTTCCCATTCCCACAGATAGTAACAAACTGTCAAGGCTATGTATTTGCTGTAAGATTAGGCGTTTTACACATGAAACCTAACCTGCAAAACCCACAAACGACGAATAATTTTATCATAAATGCAACATTCGGATGACTCTTATTATTAGATACCATATATGTGAAACTAAATTTAATGCTTACAAAGGTTTTATAAAAGGTTGTAGTCAGTGCCTCAAGAATTGCAATGCCTCTATGCTAAAACAAAAATTAACTTCCCGAATTAATTACATTATGAAAAATTGATATACAAATGCATTATTAAAGCTTTATATTATTTAAAATTGGATATATTGAATTCATCAAAAGTTTCATTATTATCTCAATTTCTGATGCAAAAATCTCATAATATAAATTCCCAATATCACGTATTGCCTCAAAATTCAAGAGAAAATAATATAAATTTTGTTGTTATCAATATGTACAATATTTCTCATGCAGTCTCGAGTAGAGCCATTGCACTTGTTGAGGCAATGAGTATATTAAATATATAATACACAAATCAAAACTCTCAATTTGGTGATAAAAAAAGATTAATAATCATTTGTAATTGGCAATTCTTTTTCAATTCGCACAATTTTACAACAAATTCCACTACGATATATGAATCACAAAATATTAGGATGTCTTTAGCCCAGGGTTTCTTAAAGTGGGGGTCGCGACCCCCAGGGGGGTCGCGAGACTACTGGACAGGGGTCGCGCAGATCTGATACTTTTCAGTCATTATAAATAAAATTTTAAAATTAGTACACACACCTGCAAATATAAATACGAATAAAAATCATACAAAATACTATTGTAGGTTTAATATAATCGGCGTTTCACGATAATTTATGGCTTCTCAAGCTATGCTATTTGGCAGATATTTTTGATAAAATCAATGATATGAATTTATCAATGCAGGGAGTCTGCGCTAATATATTTATGTTAAAAAATAAACTAAAGGTCTTTGTTAAAAAAATTGTTATATGGAAGAACAGAGTGGAAAGTGGATCGCTGGAAATGTTTCCATTTACTAACGAGTATATAATTAGTAACAATATTTTAATAAAATATACTCTTACAACAAAAAATATATTTAATCATTTGAAGGATATGGAAGTTTACATGCATAGGTATTTTCCCAATGATATCGATACACACCAATGGATTTGCAATCCATTTTCAATTGAAATCGAAGAAATAAATTTTTTAAACTTAAAAGCACAAGAAGAATTTGCCGATTTAACTAGTGATACTACCTTGCGACTAAGATTTTCTCAAGTGCCTGCCTGTGCATGAATTTTGGATAGAAATGAAATCAGAATATCCCCTACTATCGGAAATAGCAATGAACAAATTACTGCCATTTTGTACAACATATTTATGTGAATCAGCCTTTTCCACATTAACTTAAATAAAATAAAATACCGTTCAACTTTAATAAACGTTGAAAATTTAATACGATGCACTAACTCAAATTGAGCCAAGATTTAATTATTTGTGTAAGAATAAACAATCACATCCGTCACATTAGTATTGTTTGATATTAATAATATGTTTTTATTGAAAAAATTGTTACAAAAGTTTATTTTTTCTATTGAATAAATATGTATATATATATATAATTTTGTCATTCTATTCATTGTGGTTTATTACGACCAATATCTCGTCAACGTTTCCAATTATATATATATATATATATATATATATATACATGTATATATATATATACATGTATATATATATATATACATGTATATATATATATATACATGTATATATATATATATATATATATATATATATATATGTATATATATACATTTCAACATCAAATTTAAACACTGTCAACATATATATATATATATATATATATATATATATATATATATATATAGATAGATAGATACTTTATTCAAATTCAACATTTACAATTTAAGTCAATGCAATTATACTATAATATAACTAAATTAATATCAGTTATGTTTATGAACAACTCTAAGATTAACCTAATGACAATTAATATTTATCTTGTATTAATATATATATGTGTGTGTGTGTGTGTGTGTGTGTGTGTGTGTGTGAAATAAATGGATACGTATTCTTTAATTCTTATTTTATTTACATTGTAAAATAGTGTGATATTACATCTACATCTACGGTTAATAAATATTTTATTATTATTTCATTATATGAAGGAGGGGGTCGTTAAAAATTTTCTGCGCTTGAAGGGGGTCGCTATATAAAAAAGTTTGAGAAGCCCTGCTTTAGCCCGTCCCAATAAAAATATCCTCCCCGGCGGGGAATCGAACCCCGGTCTCCCGCGTGACAGGCGGGGATACTGACCACTATACTACCGAGGACATATGATAATACAACTTGTTTGCAGTACCAAAAGAGAAGCTGTTGCCATAACAACGTTATATTACAGTGAATTTTACTGCAGAATTGGTCCCATAGTAACGGAATTAGCAAACATGAGATATGTTATATCTGTTTCTACTAGGAAACTATTGCTTTCAAAATCTCATGATTTTTATAAAAGTAAAGCTTCTTTCTGGCAGCAAATCAAAGTTCAGTATAATTTTAAAAAATGCAGAAATCCTGGGTCCCCAACAAAATGTCGTCGGGAACCCGAAATTCCTATGTTGAGTTCTATATTTTGAAGGGCAGAAAAAAATCCTCCCCGGCGGGGAATCGAACCCCGGTCTCCCGCGTGACAGGCGGGGATACTGACCACTATACTACCGAGGACATACAAGAATGCAACTTTGGTTCCTTTGGCTTTTGGTTACGTTGTCATAACAACGCTATGTTACGGTCTATTTTACCGCAGAATTAGCCCCATAATAACGCAATTTACAAAAATTCGATTTGTTATACTTGTTTTTACCAGAAAACTGTTGCTTTCAAAAGCTCGTGATTTTTATAATAGAAAAGCTTATTCCTGGCAGTAAATCGAAGTTTAGTAAAATGTAAACATACGCAAAAAATCTAGATATCCAATAAAATGTCATCGGTAACCCAAAATTAATTAAATGCTCAGTTCTATATTGTGAAGGGAAGACAAAAAAAAATCCTCCCCGGCGGGGAATCGAACCCCGGTCTCCCGCGTGACAGGCGGGGATACTGACCACTATACTACCGAGGACATACCATACTGCGACTTTGGTACCTTTGGTTTTTAGTACCAAGAAAGAAGCTTAACGTCATAACATCAGAAAGAAAACTGATGCTTTCAAAAGCTCGTGAATTTTATCAAAACTCCAAAAGCTCCAAACAAAATAGGCTCCAACAAAGGCCCAAGACTATAAAGTAATTCGTTCTCTAATATTTGGTATTTGCTTTTTTCAATGAATGATTTAATGCGAGAAACAACAAGCAAACATTATTGTCGAAGTAAAGATCTAAACTTTAATTTTAAAAATAACTGCAAATAATTCTACGATTTTATACAACTATTAACTGCAATCGTCTGGCATAATATAATATGATTTGTAGCACGTAAGCACGTTGTAACGCACCTATATATCATATTATATATCTTATCACTGTAGGTTCATTGTTTTACACATGCATAAAACATACGCTTTCTCATAAAAGATTAATGAAACCACTAGCAAAGGTAGTAACTAAAGATAAAAATAGAATCCTGACATGCAGCCAGATATAAAAAGTGACATACGAGCCCGACGTCGCTTTCAAAGAATTCATAAGAAATGGAAGAACAAAAGGCCATCATTATGTTGCAGGTAAATAGCACTTGTTTCGACTAATTAAGACTTATTTGCAATATTTATAGGAACACGTATTGTTCTAATAATATGAAAATAAATACAAATTTTGATGCATAAAATGATATATTATTTGATAAAAAGATTTTGATGCAAACATGTATCTAGTATTATTTATACAATCTCAATTTTATTTGTTATTACAAATAGTATACTCCATGAGCGTTCTGGGTCTGAATTTTTTTACTGTGCTCCGATTTGCAAGAAATTTTGGAATTAGGTTCATCTTACCCTCAAGTTCAAAAGTGAACACAATTTGGACTCGGAGCACAGTAAAAAAAATTCAGAGGTTACACCCTTTTTCCTCTCCATTAACTGCACTAGTAGTATGATAGATTTTGTGAGAGATTGATGTGAAGTATATAGAAGTGATATCTCGGCGTATTATTTACTGCACCACTATTATCTCAAAAACTATTAAAGTATACAATCGTTTAATGATACTATATTAAAGTAGAGGGCAAAATGTGTGTTAAATTATGATGTCGCTATCTGGAAGTAAACGACCGTTTATCAATATTCATAACAAAAGCATTTTGCTTCGTTGGTAGTTTTTTGGTTTTGAGCTCTTTTATTTAGTTTATGACAACTGAATATGATTTTTTGGTATACGTTATTTAATGTTTTATAAGATGTATTATTATTTTTAAGTTAATTTGAATAGTTTTTTTATATAACCTCTAGAATAGCTTACATGTGGTTGGAGTAAAAAGAATCACCTGAACATTTACACTGGCAAAGGTGTGAGCAATTAGAAAATAATAAATAAAAAGTAGATTGGGGTAAAAAAACATTTTTACAAACGATAAATTAAATTAATAGTTATTCAAATCTGCTAATAAATATTTCTCACGAAATATTTATTAATAATACTAGTTCAATGTTATATACGGTGTAATATTTCTGAAAATGTGCTCATAACATTTTTATTTCGCATTGGTTATATAATTTAGCTATTATTTCGTAAAATCCTTTTAAAATAAGACATTGGATCTG